GCAAACTTCAGACGGGCCTGGACATGTACTGGCTTAAGCAGGGGGACATGTCTGGCACTGCAGGATTTGAGTCCCTGGCGGCGTAGTGTGTTACTGATGGTAGGCTTTGTTACTTTGGTCCCAGCTCTCTGCAGGTCATTCACTAGGTCCCCCCGTGTGGTTCTGGGATTTTTGCTTGTGATCATTTTGACCCCACGGGGTGAGATCTTGCGTGGAGCCCCAGATCGAGGGAGATTATCAGTGGTCTTGTATGTCTTCAATTTCCTAATAATTGCTCCCACAGTTGATTTCTTCAAACCAAGCTGCTTACCTATTGCAGATTCAGTCTTCCCAGCCTGGTGCAGGTCTACAATTTTGTTTCTGGTGTCCTTTGACAGCTCTTTGGTCTTGGCCATAGTGGAGTTTGGAGTGTGACTGTTTGAGGTTGTGGACAGGTGTCTTTTATACTGATAACAAGTTCAAACAGGTGCCATTAATACAGGTAACGAGTGGAGGACAGAGGAGCCTCTTAAAGAAGAAGTTACAGGTCTGTGAGAGCCAGAAATCTTGCTTGTTTGTAGGTGACCAAATACTTATTTTCCACCATAATTTGCAAATAAATTCATAAAAAATCCTACAATGTGATTTTCTGGATTTTTTCTCCTCATTTTGTCTGTCGTAGTTGACGTGTACCTATGATGAAAATTACAGGCCTCTCTCATCTTTTTAAGTGGGAGAACTTGCACAATTGGTGGCTGACTAAATACTTTTTCCCCCCAAAACTGCATCATGATGCCTCTCCAAATATTCCATCTATCGTAGTCCTCAACCAACCAAGGAATATCACAAAACCCCTTCTGAACAACGAGTCAGTGCATTCTGGATATAAATACTTTGCCAAGCCTGAGTAAGAGACTTGGCTGATAGGTTGTGGTTCTAATGTCTTAAAGGGCCACTGCGGTAAAAGGAAAAAAAACAAGCATTAAGGTGTCCCTTGTTCTGGGCCTCGTTTCCCAGTTACGATGTAACTTAATCATTACGATGATCGTACCAGATGCATCGTTATTTACAAGCCAACGTTTTAAGTGTTTCCCAAACAAGCACATAGAGAGAACGTTCGCTAAGTGCGTCTAGAGACCACGTGTCGATACTGATAGATTAGAAAGAAAAACAGCGCTGCTCTCGGATCAGCTTTCTCCATTCAAATCTTACTTTAACATTATAATTATTCCACAATACTGATGACAGATCAGCTCATAGAGAGAGATCACCACCTATGGCTGCAAATAGGCTATTGAGGGCGAGGCGGCTTATTATGCTTAACCAATAATAATGCACTAAATCACAGATTGGGCACATCATTGCACACGTTGTCACACAGAGGCAAACATTACAGACAGTAGCCTAGTCGCAAAATATAACTAAACTGATTGAACATGAAATTGAGTTCAATAAGATTGAAATACCCTATTTAGGACCTGTAGCCTATATCTTTTAATAATCTCGGTTTTCATTTGTTTGCAACATTGCAAATACTTGGGCAACTTTGTATTTGTAGTCAACTAACTTCCTTCTGAAATTAAATTGGCAGTCACAGTCATGTTTAGGCTATTTTTAGCGGAGATCTTCTGCGAATAAAGTGACGCGGAAGGGCAAAAATGCATCTAACGATGCACTTCGGCTGCTCTACGAGTGGTCTGGATCACTTTTAGATGTGCAAAGGTTTTTAAGAGCCATGTTACTAACGAAGGCTCTGGGAAACACCTTGGCGACTAAATACACATAGTAAGAAGGTTGTAAGGATGATCTTAATGCTACGAAGGCTCTGGGAAACGAGACCCAGGTAATTTGTCAACCTAGAGAAGTCTGTCTGTTTTAGTGTTCTGCTAATCCTGATAATGGATCAACGTCATCCCTCATGAAACGGAGTGGTGCTTATTTCTCTGGCAGACAGAGCCTACTGTTAACAATTCTAGCCTTGTCCCAGATCTGTCATGCCAAGGCATCACAATGACCATACGAGTTATAGGCTATACAGCACAAACTGATCTGGGACCAGGCTTACACAACGCCTCCTACACGTTGGTAACACTTGACAATGCACTTTGCTTCATTCACAGAGGAAACAAACATCCCATGTCTTAGAATGCATCCCAAATTGCAAGCTATTCCCTACATTGTGCACTACTTTTGACCAGGGCTCATAGAGCTCTGGTCAAAAGTAGTGCACTACATAGGGAATAGTTTGCCATTTGACAGACATTTACAATTCTCTTCTTAGTATTTTCAGATAAAAGTGTTTTCCCAAATGTAGTAGATTACGTTTCCTTGGCTTGGACTGTCATTCATTTTGTGCAAAAGTACAACATAGCAATACTTCTGTTTAACATTATTGGTGTTCATACAAGATTCAGATCACAGATCTCATACTTTTCATTATGTCCCTTAATTATTCTTTATTTATTTAAAGATCAATATGCCCACTTTATAAATAGCAGTACTTCAAAATCAGCCCTCTAAATATGGGATGATTTACTTAAACTAAATTAGTTACATGCTTCCATTAACCAAAATGCTGAAACGTATTCTAATCTATGAAATTACGAAATGATCCTACATCAGTCCTTCCTCCAAAGGTAAGATCGTCCCACCAGAAAAGAGAAGTAGGAGATATGAAAACATCTACAGTACATTGAGACTGTGGCTACGTTCCCATACGCTACCCCATTCCCGAAGAGTGCACTTGTACACTCCCCATCATGGATATAAAATAAATGCACTGGTGTAAGGAATATGGTGTAAACTCCCTTCAGCCATGTTTGCACCAATCCAATGCTTTTAAATGTATGAGGGTAAGTGAACGAGTGCTCACATCTGGAGAAGGGTGGAGAATTGGAACGCAGCCCATGTCTGTGAAATAAATGTCTACCAATCAGTTATCTGTGGGTCTTGACAAAACTAGAGTGATGTGTCCCTTTCAGCCGCATCCTACATTATAAACATTAGATATGCAATAATTCATTAGATACATATTTTCAAGTCAAAATGGACATGAAAAACAACAAACATTTACATACAGTGCCTTCGGAAAGTATTCAGACCCCTTGACTTTTTCCACATTTTGTTACGTTACAGCCTTACTCTAAAATTAATTAATTAAGTAAAAATCCTCAGCAATCTACACACAATACCCCATAATGACAAAGAGAAAACAGGTTTTTAGAAAAAACAGAAATACCTTATTTACATAAGTATTCAGACCCTTTGCTATGAGACTCGAAATTGAGCTCAGGTGCATCCTGTTTCCTTTGATAATCTTTGAGATGTTTCTACAACTTGATTGGAGTCCACCTGTGGTAAATTCAATTGATTGGACATGATTTGGAAAGGCACACACCTGTCTATATAAGGTCCCACAGTTGACAGTGCATGTCAGAGCAAAAATCAAGCCATGAGGTCGAAGGAATTGTCCGTAGAGCTCCGAGACAGGATTGTGTCGAGGCACAGATCTGGGGAAGGGTACCAAAAAATGTCTGCAGCATTGAAGTTCCCCAAGAACACAGTGGCCTCCATCATTCTTAAATTGAATAAGTTTGGAACCACCAAAACTCTTCCTAGAGTTGGCCGCATGGCCAAACTGAGCAATCGGGGGAGAAGGGCCTTGGTCAGGGAGGTGACCAAGAACTCGATGGTCACTCTGACAGAGCTCTAGAGTTCCTCTGTGGAAATGGGAGAACCTTCCAGAAGGACAACCATCTCTGCAGCACTCCACCAATCAGGCCTTTATGGTAGAGTGGCCAGATGGAAGCCACTCCTCAGTAAAAGGCACATGACAGCCCGCTTGGAGTTTGCCAAAAGGCACCTAAAGGACTCTCAGACCATGAGAAACAAGATTCTCTGGTCTGATGAAACCAAGATTGAACTCTTTGGCCTGAATGCAAAGCGTCACGTCTGGAGGAAACCTGGCACCATCCCTATGGTGAAGCATGGTGGTGGCAGCATCATGCTGTGGGGATGTTTTTCAGCGGCAGGGACTGGGAGACTAGTCAGGATCGAGGAAAGATGAACGCCGCAAAGTACAGAGTGAGCCTTGATGAAAACCTGCTCCAGAGCGCTCAGGACCTCAGACTGGGGTCGATGGTTCACCTTCCAACAGGACAATGACCCTAAGCACACAGCCAAGACAACGCAGGAGTGGCTTCGGGACAAGTCTCTGAATGTCCTTGAGTGACCCAGCTAGAGCCCAGACTTGAACCCGGTCGAACATCTCTGGAGAGACCTGAAAATAGCTGTGCAGCAATGCTCCCCATCCAACCTGACAGACCTTGAGAGGATCTGCAAAGAGGAATGAGAGAAACTCCCCAAATACAGGTGTGCCAAGCATGTAGCGTCATACCCAAGAAGACTTGAGGCTGTAATCGCTGCCAAAGGGGCTTCAACAAAGTAATGAGTAAAGGGTCTGAATACTTATGTAAATCTATCAGTTTTTGTATTTTTAATAAATTTGCACAAAAAAATGTTTAAACCTGTTTTTGCTTTGTCATTATGTGGTACTGTGTGTAGATTGATGAGGGGGAAAAAACCATTTAATAAATTTTAGAATAAGGTTGTAACGTAACAAAATTTGGAAAAAGTCAAGGTCTGAATACTTTCCGAATGCACTGTATATACAGAGTATACAGGATTCAAATTGACCTTTGGATAGGCCTATACCAGGCCTGATGGTAGACAGGTTGTATGTGTCAAGGCCATAAAGCCAACATTTTATCAACCTAGGTCGTATTCATTAGTGCACATCATTGTAAACGGCATGTTTTAAAACGTGGTGCACCGTTCCTGGAGGTAATGCAAGCTCCATTTCCGACTCCCTGTTCAAAAATCTATTTAATATGTAGTCCCCTGATGGTGGACGTATCAGATGTTATTAAACTGATAAGAACAGGTACTACACTAGTCCCTCCCTGTTTTGGTCCATTGTTTTCCGTTTGGTGTCTATAGAATACGACCCTAATGCTTGTTGACACCGTTTCTGTTTGATACTGGGGCTCATTAACCATGTTCAATAGAGACATTCATCACTCTTCAGTACATTATTCTCTCCTGATAAATAGAGACACCCACACAAAAGGGCTCTATACATTTTTGATGGTTCACTTAAAAAAGCGATAAAAAAATAAAAACTGATTGAAAGAACTGTCAGTCATCATCAAGCATAACACATTTTATTGCACAGTCTCTGTTGTGTCTGTTGTATCATGGATGGTTGTGGGGCTGAGGGAGTGCCCATAGTTTGGTTGCCTGGGTGTGGTCACTTTGGATGGGGTAAACCCCCATCCACTCCCCTGGTGGTCAGCCTGGCTCCGTGGAGCTCAGGAAGCTACTTGAACCTCCATGTTGTCCTTCTCTGATCTGCCTGCCTGGGGTCCAGACCAGAGCAACACATTGATATGATCCTTTTCAGGCGTGTTTTGGCAAAACAAGAGTAAAGCAGACTGACTGATGCAAAACACTAAGAAAACAACCAACTCCACCACAGGTGTGATTCTGCTACGACGTCACAAAGACCACACATTCCATTCTAAGCTTCCATTCCAAGAAGCTTCCTACATTGGAGTCCCACAGACAGTCAGACGCCATTTTCCTGAGGAGTGGCTTGCTACCATGGACAGCCCCTCTGTCCCACTGTATCAGATCAGAACTGCCCTGATCAGCCTCCAGGCATCTAGCGATGTTGCTCATCACCCAGTCACACGGTGGTGTGTTTGTGGGTGCCAGTGGGAGGCACAGAGAGAACCAGACCCTCCCCATCATCCTCCCCCTCACTGTCAGTGTCCCCAAGACCCAGGGAGGGGTGCAGCCTGATGCGGCTGATGCTGCTGTGCTGATGGTCCAGGTGGGAGGGGGTCTTGCCTACGCCTGCGTCTTCGTCCGAGGAGTGGTACGACTCGTCGTCTGGTATGTAGTGATTGACAATGTGGATCCCATCAAAAGCGGGCTGATTGGACATGTTGCTCCCCCTCTGGCCTTTTAGGCAGCGGTTCTGTGGATAAAGACGAGAGGCGTTTAAAAGAGGAGCATGTAGAGTCATGTATAATGGGGACATGTAAATAAACACACTGTTGAGTGGGAATTGTTAAATCAAACATCCATACATTGCCAAGAGAGAAGCACCTGAGAACATCAGAGTTGTTCATCTTTATAGAAATCACACACACAAACTACAACAAAGACAATGAGGTCTACACCAATGAAAACATAATTTCTGAAATTTAGACACAGATTAATTTCGAAACACATGCAGCTGGCACGTTCACACTCATTTGGGTAGACGTGTTCCAGAAGCGGCTGGTGGGAGGAGCTATAGGAGGACGGGCTCATTGTAATGGCTGGAATGGAATAAATGGAACTGAGTGAAACATGTTGTTTCCATATGTTTGATGCATTTGATACCTTTTCATTTATTCCATTTCAGCCATTACAATGAGCCTGTCCTCCTATAGCTCCTCCCACTAGCCTCCTCTGATGTGTTCATTCACTGACCATGCTCCCCCCATCCCCACAGCACATCAGATATTAGGTATAGGCTGCAAAACCAGTGAAAGATGGTTAAAGGAGGTCAGGTCAAAAGCTTGGTCTGGACCACACCTGCCCTGCCTAGAACTCACCTGGGTCAGCCTGCCTCGCAAAGACAGACATGTAGGGAGAGAGACACACTTTAGTTACTTGTCACTTTTCTCAAATACCAGTCCTTTTTCTGTTAAATGTTTTTAAAACCCTCCCGTTGTCCTCGGGTCAAAATGACCCGCCACTGTGTTGAACCAACCTTTTTTTAAATTCTTTTGGATCATTTGTGAGAAGGAGGCAGTGAGACTTTCTTTAAAGTTGGTTCAACACAGTGGCGGGTCATTTTGATCCGAGGACAACGGGAGGGTTAAAAAAGGACAAACAGATCAGTGATTAGAAACTACTGTATCTGTTAACTTGACTGATGCAAGTGTGCAAAGAAACATCCGGGCTAAAAACCAAGAGCCGTTCTTATTTTTGATCCTGAGAGAGATTAGTCAACTTTGGTTTAGCTCAACTCTCTGTGGCTGACTGGAAACCATACTCTCTTATGAGAATGTGTGATTGAAATGAACTGTGGTGTCACTTTTTCTTCTTGGTCCAAGTCCATCTACTCTGATCCTTTGGTCTCACTACTGCTCTTCTATCATCACCAAGAAATGCATAAATTAGGCCTAATAATTATGCATTGACAGAAATGGAATCAACTAGCATATTCACCTCTTATTTTACCTCTCCTGCTACTTTTTTGTCTTTTGATTCTTATAATCAAATTTAATATTTTGTGTGCAAATAAAAAAATGTCAGTAGTCTAGTCAGTATTGTCAGCTAACTGCAGCATTTCCAGGATTAGATCTCTCAGGTCGTGGGGGTCAGGCGGAGGAGTTTGTACACCCAGATCCTGGCTATGAGGCCATTTAGAACCTCTCACCACCAACGCTTCAATCAGCATGATCAGCATGATTCACAGTTTCACAGCCGCCCCTTCGTCTCCAACACCCCCTGACCTGACCACCTTCACCGACCCTGGACGTCTCCCAAATGGCACCCTATTCCCTTAACAGTGCACTATGTTTGAACAGCCATTGGTCAAATGTAGTGCACTATTAAGGGAATAAGGTGCCATTTGGAATGCATATCTAAGTCCAGCCCAGAGGAGAGCAGGCGGAGGGATTCTGTTCTGACCGACTGGCTCTGCCTGCTTGCATGTCTGTCTGTCTGTCTGACTAACTGACTGCCTGCCTGTCTGACTAACTGACTGCCTGCCTGACTGCCTGACTGTCTGACTGACTGCCGGACTGTTTGCCTGCCTGACTGCCTGCCTGTCTGACTGTCTGACTAACTGACTGCCTGCCTTGACTGTTTGCCTGACTGGCTGCACTGTCTGGATAGGAGACCCAGAGCGACACGCTGCATGATTTAATGCAGCTCAGTTTAAACACAAGCCACCAGCCTTTTGTTGTCCTCTTTTTTTAGGAGAGGGTACAAATCTGACTACATCCTCCCATGTAAAGCATTGATTTGCTGGAAGAAAAGTTGCTTTTTTCTTAGATTTCTTTTTTTTCTGGGGCGTTTTCTACCACTCTACTCACAATAAGAGTGGTGTATACACTACCATCAAAAGTTTTAGAACACCTACTCATTCAAGGGCTTTTCTCTATTTTTACTATTTTTTACATTGTAGAATAATAGTGAAGACATCAAAACTATGAAATAACACATATGGAATCATGTAGTAACCAAAAAGGTGTTAAACAAATCAAAATATATTTTACATTTGAGATTCTTCAAATAGCCACCCTTTGCCTTGAGGACAGCTTTGCACACTCTTGGCATTCTCTCAACCAGCTTCATGAGGTAGTCACCTGGAATGCATTTCAATTAACAGGTGTGCCTTCTTAAAAGTTAATTTGAGGAATTTCTTTCCTTCTTAATGTGTTTGAGCCAATCAGTTGTGTTGTGACTAGGTAGGGGGTATACAGAAGATAGCCCTATTTGGTAAAAGACCAAGTCCATATTATGGCAAGAACAGCTCAAATAAGCAAAGAGAAACGACAGTCCATCATTACTTTAAGACATGAAGTTCAGTCAATACGGAACATTTCAAGAACTTTGAAAGTTTCTTCAAGTGCAGTAGCATAAACCATCAAGCGCTATGATGAAACTGGCTCTCATGAGGCCCGCCACAGGAATGGAAGACCCAGAGTTACCTCTGCTGCAGAGGATAAGTTCATTAGCGTTACCAGCCTCAGAAATTGCATCCCAAATAAATGCTTCAGAGTTCAAGTCACAGACACATCTCAACATCAACTGTTCAGAGGAGACTGTATGAATCAGGCCTTCATGGTCGATTTGCTGCAAAGAAACCATTACTAAAAGGTCACCAATAAGAAGAAGAGACCTGCTTAGGCCAAGAAACACGAGCAATGGACATTAGACAGGTGGAAATTTGTACTTTGGTCTGGAGTCCAAACTGGAGATTTTTGGTTCCAACCGCGTGTCTTTGTGAGATGCTGTGTGGGTGAACGGATGATCTTCGCATGTGTAGTTCCCACTGTAAAGCATGGAGGAGGAGGTGTTATGGTGTTGGGGTGCTTTGCTGGTGACACTGTCTTTTTTTGTGTGATTTATTTAAAATTCAAGGCACACTTAACCAGCATGGCTACCACAGCATTCTGCAGCAATACGTCATACTATCTGGTTTGGGCTTAGTGGGACTATCATTTGTTTTTCAACAGGACAATGACCCAACACACCTCCAGGCGGTGTAAGGGCTATTTTACCAAGAAGGAGAGTGATGGAGTGCTGCATCAGATGACCTGGCCTCCACAATCCCCCGACCTCAACCCAATTGAGATGGTTTGGGATGAGTCGGACAGCAGAGTGAAGAAAAAGCAGCCAATAAGTGCTCAGCATATGTGGGAACTCCTACAAGACTGTTGGAAAAGCATTCCAGGTGAAGCTGGTTGAGAGAATGCCAAGAGTGTGCAAAGCTGTCATCAAGGCAAAGGATGGCTATTTGAAGAATCTCAAATATAAAATATATTTTTGATTTGTTTAACACTTTTTTGGTTACTAGATGATTCCATGTGTTATTTCATAGTTTTGATGTCTTCACTATTATTCTACAATGTAGAAAATAGTAAAAATAAAATAAAAACCCTTGAATGAGTAGGTATGTCCAAACCTTTGACTGGTACTGTAAATATATATAAACTGGCTGGTTCGAGCCCTCAATGCTGATTGGCTGACAGCCGTGGTATATCAGACCGTATACCACGGGTATGACAAAACATTTTTACTGCTCTAATTACGTTGGTAACCAGTTTATAATAGCAATAAGACACCTCTGGTGTTTGTGGTATAAGGCCAATAAAACATGGCTAAGGGCTGTATCCGGGCACTCCGCGTTGCGTCGTGCAAAGAACAGCCCTTAGCCGTGGTGTATTGGCCATATACCACACCCCATCGGGCCTTATTGCTTAAATATTTGCTTCTCCCTTTCCTCTTTTGCCTCTTGGAGTGGAGTCATGTGCCATATGTCATATTACAATATATTGCACGCACATGCACCACACACAGAATAAAAGGGTACATCAGGGTCTGCCCATATAATCCTACTAGGGATCCCTTCATTCAGGTCTGATCAGGTCTTTGTATTATTTGAAGGACACTAATCTGATCAAAGATGGCCCACTCTGCTGAAGTGATAGTGTCAAAGTCAAACCGTCAAATCTGTACGATCTGTTCCTGATCCTGTAGACCTCTATTTCTGTGATGAAATTCATAACCTTTAAATCCTTGATCTAGCAATTGATGAGAATAGCTATCTGTGGTGTACACAGAGGAGCAAAAGCAGATTATGAGACTCTTCTATTCAATCTGGGTCCTCTCTCAGTATGTTGAGTAGTTGGTTTTAGGGTTATCTTTTAGAAGATGAGAGTGAGAGGAGAGGGGTGTGTGCTGGTAAATCAACACCCTCAGCGCAGGAAGCTTTTGGGCGTAGTTTACACTTCTAACATACAGCTGGCTTCAAAATAGACAAATCTGAGCAAAACACATGAAAAATTCAACTAACAAAATCGTCTCTGAAAACAACCGATACCAACGTGTTTGTTTTTCTCCCGGTTCAGTATTCCCCTGTTGTAACTACTCACCTCATGTTTTAGCTCAGCTATCTGGTCCTTCAGGTCTCTGATGTACTGACTGGAGTCGGTGTTGTTCAGCTGGCCCTGGACCTTCCCTTCTTCTTTCTGTAGAAACAAACAGAAAACAACACGTCTTAAAACATAGCTTATCATTGTTCAGCTACTCATAACACTGGAGAGGAGATAAGAAGTTTGTGTCACCGCGGATGCTTTACATGTTGGCAACCTTGAATTGTTATAAGGGCAACTTGACAAGACCAGGTTGGGTTGCACTGTTGTAATATTCAGTAGATCAACTAAAAATGTAGAAGAGAGAGAGGGAGACAACTACTACCACCAGACAAGAGACACTATAGCTACACATCACTGGAAAACTTGCATCACAGAAGCATCATAAAATATACAGTATGTAGAGAGTGGCTGTTGACTAAGCCATAGATGAATGGGGGAACCTAGCTAAGCTAACACAAGGTAGCTATAGTCGTTTGTGTTGTTATCCTCTCTGGGCCCTGGGGATGAGGCTAGTAGCTACCGTATGTTTAACTGTCAAACATGACACATGTGCTGTTTACCCTCCTCAGTGCAGACAGCTGCAGCCATAGGAGACAAACACACATACCCCATACACAGCTCAACTCAATCCTGTCTAAAGCCTGGGAGAGTTTATAAGCAGAGAGAGAGAGAGAGGGGCACCGGCACAGGCTGAAGGGTTCAGGCTAACCACAACCAGCAACGCAGGAACAGGAGAGGGTAAAAAGGGGAAGAAGTTAAATGCAGGGGTGGGGGGAGGTGAGGTAGTGAGGTGAGTTAACCATCTCGGTCGGACCCAACACCTCAAAATATATACGACACTCATAGTTCCTGTGGTCAGGTAAGGGTTGAGAGTGTAGGCTTAGGCCCCTGAGAAGCTGCTGACAAGCTGACAATGTGAGCTCTACAAAAGCAGCTATTCTTCCTGGAATCTGTGTTTTTGTTGAGGTCCCCCCCCTCCTCCATCCCTGCCTCCCTCCTGACAGAGCTAGCGATAAGGGAGAGGCAGTTAGCGAGACGTCCTCGTACTCAGCTGTGTGGATCACCAGGTGGTTAGGGGTTGTGGCCAGACACATCAAACGTCTTTAAGTTATGGGGTGCATCCCAAATGGCACCCTATTCCCTATATACTGTACTACTTTACTACCTCCAGGACAAAACTCATCCCAAAAAACGCCAACTTGCCTTTCCACACCTCTCAGAGGTTGTCGTCGTACTGCTTTTGGCTAGTGACATGGTGGCTTGTTTCCCTCTATTCTGACAGATGGGCATTTCAGCATGGTTTAGATGGCCATGGTAGAGTGGTGTTAGATCTCGTGTTCAGTCTCATGCTTTTTCTCTCTACAATCAATCTTGGTTTATATGGCTATGGTAGAGTAGCGTTAGATTGCACAGAATCAATCTCGTATCGGACATATCATGTCCGATCCAAAAAACAATAGTTACCAATAACAATAGTTACACTAATTCTATTAGTGTTAAAAACAAACACCCAAACACCTATAGAAACCATAAGACAGGAAATGTGACTTTTTGACAAAAAGCAATGATGACAAAGGAGATGACACATTTCTTTGTAATGTAAATGTAAAAGCAAACCACCATGTAGAACTGCAGACACAATTACCAGGAGAGGAGTCCGAAAACACTATGAGGAACCTTTAATAACCACTGAATTTGTAACAGCACATTCTCAAGCCCCCTGCTAAATATACATCTAAATCTGTAAGCATATCATGCATGCAGAATGACAAAATCATAGATAGGCCTCCAACATGTCACCTCTGGTTCTAGCTGTCAGTTTGTCTTCGCCTCACAGTAGGAAGTGGTTTCTTGTCTTGACAAGAAGATAGCCGAGCTGTGGTATTATCATGGGTCACACATACATTCAGCTACTTTCATACTGCAAAAGCGATGGATGTAAAAACCCTGATGTCCATTTGACTATACATTCAGTTTTATCGATTGAGCTCTTTCTATACCTCTTGATACAGATATATTTACAGTAGTTTAGTACCGGAAGTTCTTTGCGAACCTATAATTGTGAAATTCTTTACCTCAAGAAAATATAACATAAATAAATATAGACATCACTGGCGTGTTGTGAATACTTTCCAATAGTGGGCAGTAGTGCAGGTGGGCCATACTGACGTTTTAGTTTGAGGAATATCAGGTAGGCAGGCCGCCGCAGGGGCTTTTTCAAGGTAAGAGTACTACAATGGTAAGGGAAACACTGCAAGGTACAGTGGGCAGAAGTGGGCGGCACTCATTGGATGAGTTTACTAAAGCTACACATAATGCATTCCTATTTGGAGAAAAAAACAGAAAAAGGACTTTCTGAAGTTGTCTATTTTTGTGTGTGAACCACCCTCCGTTGTTTATTGGTTTAACGCACCACACAAAGACTCCAAGTTTAAGGTTGAGCGAGATTGTACCCACTTTATTCACGATTTGGAAAAAAGTAACTTGTACTGTGGCGCAGCTCACAAAGAGCAAACCTCTGTCATGTTATAGCATGCCATCAGACACCTTTTATGGATCTTTATGGGAGGTGTTAAATGCAGTGGACAGCAATTTATCAGTCATTGCTTTTTTGCACTCTTACCCCTGGGTCTATAACCAGAGCGACTGAGGGCTAAGGTAAGACAGGCCATCTACCCACAACCTTAAGAGCTGCAACCAGGTACCCAAACCACAGACCAAGAGTTCATCACTGGCACCACATGGCATGGGCTCTGACTCACACAAAGTGGTTATATGAAGGGAAAATACCTGTTCTGTCTGTCTGGCAGAGACTATTAGCTTCCAATGCACAGCATACTCAGAAACAGCTAGATTAAAAAGTAACTCAGTTTAGTGAAGATTGAGATTATCATCAGAGGCAAATCATGGTTTCATAGCACGACGTGAGAGTGAGGGGGGCGGTACTCGGTAGTGGTGAACGCTGGTGTTGATGCACTGTTGTTGTTGAAGCACCTAGTAACAACACCTGACTACACTGTGAGTATGGAAGGGATGTTGGTTTTGAAAAAGTAAATTGACACTGATTAAAATGGTGTGTTCTTCAAAATATCACATTTAAGATGCTTAACAATGCATATAAGGCTGTCTATTTCTTGTAAATGTTTTGATGAGTTAACTCTGTGGTATAGGCTAACTGTTGGTATAAAATGTATATTAGAGGGTGTATATGTGTAGGCCAATAGTGTGAAGAAAGCAGACAGATAGTCTGACACTTAGTTAACCTGTGATGGGAACGTTTCTGAAACACCAACACAATGACTTGACGGGCTGAGACATCAAAGCTTCTGCATTAACATTTCTTCAGACTCAGAGTTGATGGAAAGAACTGAAGCAATCTCTGTCAGTCTTCTCATGACAGAAATTGTACTATCACTGGAAAGACTAAAGTCAGCTCATATTCAAGAAACCAAACTTTTGCTATTTGTCCGTAATGAGAAAAACGATAATATGGTCAATTGGCACAGACACTTTTATACAAAGCATCTTAAGAGTTAACAGAGTGTTATATTGTGTATAGTTCCACACGCATACGACCCCAACACCACACTAGATAAGGAACCGCAGCATGATATGAAGAGACACGCCGAGGCTTTAATAATCTGACAAATCACTAGCACAGGAAATGCATAGGTTATTTTCTACTGGCAGACAATCTGTTTAGCTGCTGCTAATACATTAAACACTAACCCATATTTTCTTCTGACTGTACAAATGATGTTCAGTTACAGTGGGGGAAAAAAAGTATTTAGTCAGCCACCAATTGCGCAAGTTCTCCCACTTAAAAAGATGAGAGGCCTGTAATTTTCATCATAGGTACACGTCAACTATGACAGACAAATTGAGAAAAAAAAATCCAGATTTTTTTTTTTATTAATGAATTTATTAGCAAATTATGGTGGAAAATAAGTATTTGGTCACCTACAAACAAGCAAGATTTCTGGCTCTCACAGACCTGTAACTTCTTCTTTAAGAGGCTCCTCTGTCCTCCACTCGTTACCTGTATTAATGGCACCTGTTTGAACTTGTTATCAGTATAAAAGACACCTGTCCACAACCTCAAACAGTCACACTCCAAACTCCACTATGGCCAAGACCAAAGAGCTGTCAAAGGACACCAGAATCAAAATTGTAGACCTGCACCAGGCTGGGAAGACTGAATCTGCAATAGGTAAGCAGCTTGGTTTGAAGAAATCAACAGTGGGAGCAATTATTAGGAAATGGAAGACCACTGATAATCTCCCTCGATCTGGGGCTCCACGCAAGATCTCACCCCGTGGGGTCAAAATGATCACAAGAACGGTGAGCAAAAATCCCAGAACCACACGGGGGGACCTAGTGAATGACCTGCAGAGAGCTGGGACCAAAGTAACAAAGCCTACCATCAGTAACACACTATGCCGCCAAGGACTCAAATCCTGCAGTGCCAGACGTGTCCCCCTGCTTAAGCCAGTACATGTCCAGGCCCGTCTGAAGTTTGCTAGAGTGCATTTGGATGATCCAGAAGAGGACTGGGAGAATGTCATATGGTCAGATGAAACCAAAATATAACTTTTTGGTAAAAACTCAACTCGTCGTGTTTGGAGGACAAAGAATGCTGAGTTGCATCCAAAGAACACCATACCTACTGTGAAGCATGGGGGTGGAAACATCATGCTTTGGGGCTGTTTTTCTGCAAAGGGACCAGGACGACTGATCCATTTAAAGGAAAGAATGAATGGGGCCATGTGAGATTTTGAGTGAAAACCTCCTTCCATCAGCAAGGGCATTGAAGATGAAACGTGGCTGGGTCTTTCAGCATGACAATGATCCCAAACACACCGCCTGGGCAACGAAGGAGTGGCTTCGTAAGAAGCATTTCAAGGTCCTGGAGTGGCCTAGCCAGTCTCCAGATCTCAACCCCATAGAAAATATTTGGAGGGAGTTGAAAGTCCGTGTTGCCCAGCGACAGTCCCAAAACATCACTGCTCTAGAGGAGATCTGCATGGAGGAATGGGCCAAAATACCAGCAACAGTGTGTGAAAACCTTGTGAAGACTTACAGAAAACGTTTGACCTGTGTCATTGTCAACAAAGGGTATATAACAAAGTATTGAGAAACTTTTGTTATTGACCAAATACTTATTTTCCACCATAATTTGCAAATAAATTCATAGAAAATCCTACAATGTGATTTTCTGGATTTTCTTTTCTCATTTTGTCTGTCATAGTTGACGTATGATGTATGATGAAAATTACAGGCCTCTCTCATCTTTTTAAGCGGGAGAACTTGCACAATTGGTGGCTGACTAAATACTTTTTTTTCCCACTGTATTTCAGAGAAAGGTTGATCTCAATCTCCAAATATATAGTTGAAATAGTATAATTCTGGGTCTTGGGTTTTCGTCTCAGGTTATTTGGACGTATCAGCATTGGGCGAAGGCGGTGCTTAAACTGCTTCGACGGATGACAAACACAGGTGAAAATATCTGAACAAATTACACACGCTTTTAGTTCTGGTTTAACCGAGAGTACCCAATCAAGCATGAGCATGATTGGTATGATATATGATATGATATGCCAGACTAAGATGTCACACTGTCCTTCCTGGAGATGATCATGGTTTCTTGGCACACCTTTCACCTCTGCAGTAAACTGTCACTTTAAAAATACCCCACCTTCTTCCTCACATCAATGAAGAACACTAAAATAGATACAGGCTCTAAACTGTAAACCTTCCTTTAGGCGTATGGGGCGTCTCTGTGTCAAGAGTTGAGGCACTCAGAGTTAGCCTGTGTGCTCAGATGTTGGAGTGGGTATGGAGTGTTGAACTGTGGGTTATGGTGAGGAGAAGTCTATGGACTGGACATAAATTAAGCCTAGTCATGGACTATGAAGGACTGTCAATATAGATTAAAAGTACTAGCACCAAGCTAGTGTGACTGTGAGGGAGGGAGGCCGGGTTAAGTACTGTACCTGTATCTCCAGTTCAGAGATCTGTTGCTGCAGCTCGGCCATGGCAGCGATGTTGTCAGCCTCTCTCAGCCTCACCGCCATCACCTCCTCCTTGTTCTGAAACAAACAAATGAACAAACAATGTCAAGCCAGAGTGTCACCGAAAATGAAATGTTAATTCGCACACCACCATGAGTCTCCCATTTGAGGCGCAGAGTTGACTTTATTGTAGAAAAGATAGGCTAACTGCCACACAAACAAATGGCTTTTACCTCCACTGAAGTAATGTTTCTAGAGAGTGTTATTAAAGACATGTTGACAGCCATTACATACTGTAAGCCCCAGGGTCACAACAGGGTGCATTTGTGTGCTACACTTAACACAAATGTTGAACCTTCTGAAACAGTTGTTTAGTATGATTCCTGCAGTAATCCCCGAGAGACAAGGGGTGTTGCTGATCTGCAGAGAGCAGTTTAAAACACACACACACACACACACACACACGTTTAACAACATCAACAGCACAGAGATGTTATCTGAAGATGTCAAGCAAAACAAACTGCTTCCCTCTTCAGAACCGGGACTCTGAAGATCTGATTTTAACAAGAAGCAATGGATCAGATAAAGGATGATTTTGACAACTCAAACTCAAGGTTTTCAATATTTCCAGTTTGACTGATTGTGGGGCTGATACACTCATACCCTTTTCACACCATCATGCCGACCCAAACCAAACAGTGTATTTTCTTTTCACACTGTCCTTTCCGGTATGGTTCCCGCTACTATGGTGGATGCATAACCAGGCCAGCACAGTACAGCTCAGTTTGTCTCAGCTTGGTTCGACTCAGAAGTGTGTATAGGGTATCAGTGGAGAAGCATCCAATCACCTGGTTGGCTATAGTCATCCCAACAGCAGACAGACTCTTTCTTACCTTGCACTCAATCTCCGCCTGTTTGCGTTTGATCTCCTGCAGCTGAACGTGTAGGCCCTTATTCTGGGCCGTCAGCACAGTCACACGCTCCTGAAAGCCCCGCCCCTCCTGCTCCGCCCGACGCAGCTGGTTGCTATGGATCTGGTTCTGCCGGCGGGGAAGGATATGGAAGGTAAATATTGGGAGGGGGCAGTTTCCTCATTACACATTTCTATTATATCACAAGAGGCAACCCATTTAAAGCAAGTTCTATAGCTTGTATCTGCTAAATGGCATTGTTCACCTACTACATTAGAAAGTAGTAACTGAAAAGGTTTGCCCTTTTCAACTCTGAATACAACACATCCTTATGGGAGCGCCTGATACTTTGACAGTTAAGAATATGTACCTCTGCTGCCCCCTCGTGGTTGGACAAGGCAATAGAAGAGGCCATTTGACTACTCCCACACATGCATGTGAAGATTCATTGGTACTAGGGCTGCATGACATGTTTATCAGCATAACATTTTTTTATGCCGTTAATCGCGACTCCATTTCTTCACCGAACGGAACCTTTTAAGCGCATATATTTCTGCACGGACCCTTTCAAGCGCAGAACACAACAAGGAACAAATCAAATCAAATGTATTGGTCACATACACGAGTTTAGCAGATGTTATTGCGGGTGTAGTGAAATCCTTGTGTTTCTAGCTCCAACAGTGCAGTAATATCTAACAAGTAATATCTAACAATTTCACAACATATACCCAATACACACAAATCTAAGTAAAGCAATGGAATTAAGAATATATCAATAAATATATGGACGAGCAATGTCAGAGCGGCATAGACTAAGATACAGTAGAATAGTATAGAATACAGTATATACATATGAGATGAGTGATGCAAGATATGTAAACATTATTAAAGTGACTAGTGTTCCATTTATTAAAGTGGCCAGTGCTTTCTAATCTATGTATATAAGCAGCAGCCTCTAATGTGCTAGTGAAGGCTATTTAACAGTCTGATGGCCTTGAGATAGAAGCTGTTTTTCAGTCTCTCGGTCCCAGCTTTGATGCACCTGTACTGACCTCGCCTTCTGGACGATAGCGGGGTGAACAGGCAGTGGCTCAGGTGGTTGTTCTCCGTGATGATCCTTTTGGCCTTCCTGTGACATCGGGTGCTGTAAGTGTCCTGGAGGGCTGGTAGTTTGCCACCGGTGATGCGTTGGGCAGACCGCACCACCCTCTGGAGAGCCCTGCGGTTGCGGGCGGTGCAGTTGCCGTACCAGGCGGTGATACAGCCCGACAGGATGCTCTCAATTGTACATATGTAAAGGTTTGTGAGGGTTCTAGGTGCCAAGCCAAATTTCTTCAGCCTCCTGAGGTTGAAGAGGCGATGTTGCGCCTTCTTCACAACACTGTCTTTGTGGGTGGACCATTTCAGTTTGTCAGTGATGTGTACGCCGAGGAACTTGAATCTTTCCACCTTCTCCACTGCGGTCGCGTCGATGTGGATAGGGGGGTGTTCCCTCTGCTGTTTCCTGAAGTCCACGATCATCTCCTTTGTTTTGTTGACATTGAGTGAGAGGTTATTTTTCCTGGCACCACACGCTCAGAGCCCTTACCTCCTCCCTGTAGGCTGTCTCGTCATTATTGGTAATCAAGCCTACTACTGTTGTGTCGTCTGCAAACTTGATGATTAAGTTGGAGGCGTGCTTGGCCATGCAGTCATGGGTGAACAGGGAGTACAGGAGGGGACTGAGCACACACCCTTGTGTTGAGGATCAGCGAAGTGGAGGTGTTGTAACCTACCTTCACCACCTGGGGGAGGCCCGTCAGGAAGTCCAGGACCCAGTTGCACAGGGCGGGGTTCAGACCCAGGGCCCAGAGCTTAATGATGAGCTTGGAGGGTACTATGGTGTTTAATGCTGAGCTATAGTCAATGAACAGCATTCTTACAATGGTATTCCTCTTGTCCAGATGGGATAGAGCAGTGTGCAGTGTGATGGCAATTGCATAGTCTGTGGATCTATTGGGGCGGTAAGCAAATTTAAGTGGATCTAGGGTGGCAGGTAAGATAGAGGTGATATGATCCTTGACTAGTCTCTCAAAGCACTTCATGATGACAGAAGTGAGTGCTATGGGGCGATAGTCATTTAGTTCAGTTACCTTTGGTTTCTTGGGTACAGGGACAATGGTGGCCATCTTGAAGCATGTGGGGACAGCAAACTGGGATAGGGAGAGATTGAATATGTCTGTAAACACACCAGCCAGATGGTCTGCACATGCTCTGAGGACGGGACTAGGGATGCCATCTGGGCCATCAGCCAATGCGCGGGTTAACACGCTTAAAAGTCTTGCTGACGTCGGCCATGGAGAAGGAGAGCCCACAGTCCTTGGTAGCAGGCCGCGTCGGTGGTACTGTATTATCCTCAAAGCGGGCGAAGAAGGTGTTTAGCTTGTCCGGGAGCAAGACGTCGGTGTCCCCGACGTGGCTGGTTTTCCTTTTGTAGTCTGTGATTGTCTGTAGACCCTCGTGTCTGAGCCGATGAATTGCGACTCCACTTTGTCCCTATACTGACGTTTTGCCTCTTTGATTGCGGAGGGAATAACTACACTGTTTGTATTCTGCCATTTTCCCAGTCACCTTGCCGTGGTTAAATGTGGTGTTTCGCGCTTTCAGTTTGCGCGAATGCTGCCATCTATCCACGGTTTCTGGTTAGGGTAGGTTTTAATAGTCACAGTGGGTACAACATCTCCTATACACTTCCTGATAAACTCAGTCACCGTATCAGTATATACGTCGATATTATTATTTGAACCTACCCGGAAAATATCCCAGTCCGCGTGATCAAAACAATCTTGAAGCGTGGATTCCGATTGGTCAGACCAGCGTTGAATGCATGGGTACTTCCTGTTTGAGTTTCTGCCTATAGGAAGGGAGGAGCAAAATGGAGTCGTGGTCAGATTTGCCGAAAGGAGGGCCGGGGGAGGCCCTTGTATGCATCCCGGAAGTTGGAGAAGCAGTGGTCGAGTGTTTTAGCAGCGCGAGTACTAAAGTCGATGTGTTGATAGAACTTCAGCAACCTTTTCCTCAAGTTTGCTTTGTTAAAATCCCCAGCTACAATAAATGCAGCCTCAGGATATGTGGTTTCCAGTTTGTATAGAGTCCAGTGAAGTTCTTTGAGGGCCGTCGTGGTATCGGCTTGAGTGGGGATACACACGGTTGTGACTATAACCATTTGATTTGATTGTGAGGTATTCTAGGTCGGCTGAACAAAATGACTTGAGTTCCTGTATGTTATCACAACTACACCATGAGTCGTTAATCATAAAACATACACCTCCGCCCTTCTGCTTCCCGGAGAGATATTTATTCCTGTCTGCGCAATGAACTGAGAACTCAACTGGCTGGACCGACTCGGACAGTATATCCCGAGAGAGCCATGTTTCCGTGAAACAGAGGATGTTACAATCCCTGATGTCTCTCTGGAAAGAAACCCTCGCCCTGAGCTCATCAACTTTATTATCCAGAGACTGAACATTAGCGAGTAATATACTCGGAAGCGGTGGGTGGTGTGCACGCCTCCTAAGTCGGACTAGAAGGCCACTCCAAGTACCTCTCCTCCGGCGTTGTTTTGGGTCGGCCTCTGGAATCAGTTCAATTGCCCTGGGGGGTGCGAACAAAGGATCCGCTTCGAGAAAGTCGTATTCCTGGTCGTAATGCTGGTAGTGCTGGTGAGTTACCGCCGCTCTGATAGCCAATAGTTCTTCCCGGCTGTATGTAATAACACAAACAATTTTCTGGGCTAATAACGTAATAAATAATACATAGCATTACAGTCAATGCTAGCACCTTTACATCGCTGAAGACCTTGTGCCTCTAACCAAAATCATGTCAAAGTTAAGCCCAATATTACCGGAGCTATGTTTTTAATTTTTTCTGCGGACTCGTGTGCATGTCGCGGGCCGTTTTAAATTACTTTGATAACAAACATTGTTTAGCTATCTAGTCATGTTACCCAACTAGCAACCTGATAACTGGACCACTGACTAGGCTATGCAGAAATGCGGATGGCACAGGAAGAACTGAAAAGGGATAGGCTTCTCAAAGAGTTGCTTCAAAGGTGGGGTGTGTATGATTGTGTGTGTGCGTGTGTGTGTGTGAGACAGAGGATGTGTGAGAGAGCGGGAGCAAGTGGGCGAGTTCGTTTTATATGGCCCGGTGCCCCAGGTGGGTGGAGATTTCACTTAAAGACCAATGGAATGGCCTAAAATGTACAAACTCCGCCCACCCGGGGCACCGGGCCATACAAAACGAACTCGCCCAGCGAGAGGGCGATTGTGGAGGCCTTTGTGTGTAAAGTTATCTGAACAGTACAGATGGTTACAGTGTTTTCATAACATTGCTGGACAAGTTTAAAAGCTCTTTGTTCTTTGTACCCATAGAGCCAGTAATTATTTCCTATAGTCACAATCATTTAGAATGCCTGAAGCTTTAACACTGTGTGTATGTGTGTGTGTGTGCGTGTGTGAGAAAGAGACAGAGAGAGTGTGTGCTGTGCACAAGTGTTAAAACTTCAAGAACATTGATAAGAGGGAGTAGGCCTACTGAAAAGCTTTGTTTAGGGCCAATTTTGAGCAAATTCAAAAATGTACTCCATTATTTTTATCATTTGACAGCCATAACTGGTACACTACTAATATTTCTACAAAGGCTGAACTGTGTCTGTCTTACTGACCTGTGTCTCCAGCTCCATCATCCTCTGACGAGTCTCTCTGAGTTCTGCCTGGGCCTCAGCCTCCCGTAGCCTGACACTCATCAGCTCGTCCTGTAGCTCAGACACAGCATTCTTCCTAGGGCTGTCCTTCCAGCGGCCCGCCGTACGCGCCAGGTGACGCTATAGGAGCAGGGGGAGAGGGGGGAAGCACGCAGTCAACCAAAGATGTTATGCAACTAAAATAGCTGAGTCCTCAACTCATACACACATGGAGATTGAGCAAGATGACAAAAATACATTTAACATCTATATCCGGTATAATCATATTAATCATCTATGGGTCTCTTAGTGCTGTGTCTTGGACATGGTCCTCTGTAGCTCAGCTGGTAGAGCACGGCGCTTGTAACGCCAAGGTAGTGGGTTCGATCCCCGGGACCACCCATACACAAAAATGTATGCACGCACGACTGTAAGTCGCTTTGGATAAAAGCGTCTGCTAAATGGCATATTATTATTATATTATTACTCATGGTACAGCTGAGATAGTCAAGTCACACTCATATCAAATTGTATTTTAAGTTCATCAGTTTCAATACACTATAGACCTACAGAAGGAAAGTGTGTTGGTGTGTTTGAATCTTCCATGTGTGTGTACGGTGTGGAGAATAGATTTTCGTCCTCACCTGCCAGTGCTCCTCCAGGTCTCTGACCTGTTGTCTGAGTTCCTTCAGCCCCATCACAGCTTCAGCCTCTCTCAGCTTCACTGCTATCAGCTCCTCCTGCAACCGCACCACGTTGGTGTCATCTGGCAGGGACGTGTTCCTCTGGGGGACAGACAGAAACACAGACACAACCAAAACAATGACTGAGAAGACTCAACTTCAGGATGCTTATGTCATGGACCAGGAGAGGGACAGTAAAATACCAGGGATGCGTTCAGCAGGGCACAACATTGTGGAATTTTCAGATATAAATATATTACGTAGAAAAAACCTCTAGTCTCTACATGTAGAAAAGGAATCACGTCCGCTCTAGTCATGACATTTCTATCTGCAATATCCCACAATGTTTGCCTATTCCAGACGGAATGCCTGACAGAGGTATGGGACTAGGAGGCACTGTGACAGTGAGTGAATTGATGATAGACAGTCTGAGCCAGTTAACACACCTTCTCTATGTCCAGGATCTTGTCTTGCATCTCCTTGAGGGCACACTGGGACTCAGCCTCCTTTAGCCTGGCCTGAACCAGCTCTCTCTCCAACTGCAGGATGGACTCCTCTGTGTAGAGCGGGTTGCCCTTCTACAGTAGCGAGGAAGCGGGAGGAGAAAGAGGAAGAGGAGAGAGGAAGGAAGAGGAGAGAGGAAGGAAGAGGAGAGAGAGAGTGAGGAAGAGATCTAGAGCTTTATCGGACTCCGGGAAACCAGCCCATAGTGTCCTTAAGGTTAGTCTGAGTGGGAATAATGTGTTGAATCTTGAAATAACTGGTAATTCATAACTACCTACTTCAAAATCACATTACAATACACACATTGTTTCGAAACAATATATATGTAATGTATAACAATATACAGTGAGGAAAAAAGTATTTGATCCCCTGCTGATTTTGTACGTTTGCCCACTGACAAAGAAATGATCAGTCTATAATTTTAATGGTAGGTTTATTTGAACAGTGAGAGACAGAATAACAACAAAAAAATCCAGAAAAACACATGTCAAAAATGTTATAAATTGATTTGCATTTTAATGAGGGAAATAAGTATTTGACCCCCTCTCAATCAGAAAGATTTCTGGCTCCCAGGTGTCTTTTATACAGGTAACGAGCTGAGATTAGGAGCACACTCTTAAAGGGAGTGCTCCTAATCTCAGCTTGTTACCTGTATAAAAGACACCTGTCCACAGAAGCAATCAATCAGATTCCAAACTCTCCACCATGGCCAAGACCAAAGAGCTCTCCAAGGATGTCAGGGACAAGATTGTAGACCTACACAAGGCTGGAATGGGCTACAAGACCATCGCCAAGCAGCTTGGTGAGAAGGTGACAACAGTTGGTGCGATTATTCGCAAATGGAAGAAACACAAAATAACTGTCAATCTCCCTCGGCCTGGGGCTCCATGCAAGATCTCACCTCGTGGAGTTGCAATGATCATGAGAACGGTGAGGAATCAGCCCAGAACTACACGGGAGGATCTTGTCAATGATCTCAAGGCAGCTGGGACCATAGTCACCAAGAAAACAATTGGTAACACACTACGCCATGAAGAACTGAAATCCTGCAGCGCCCGCAAGGTCCCCCTGCACATGAAAGCACATATACAGGGCCATCTGAAGTTTGCCAATGAACATCTGAATGATTCAGAGGAGAACTGGGTGAAAGTGTTGTGGTTAGATGAGACCAAAATCGAGCTATATGGCATCAACTCAACTCGCCGTGTTTGGAGGAGGAGGAATGCTGCCTATGACCCCAAGAACACCATCCCCACCATCAAACATGGAGATGGAAACATTATGCTTTGGGGGTGTTTTTCTGCTAAGGGGGCAGGACAACTTCACCGCATCAAAGGGACGATGGACGGGGCCATGTACCGTCAAATCTTGGGTGAGAACCTCCTTCCCTCAGCCAGGGCATTGAAAATGGGTCGTGGATGGGTATTCCAGCATGACAATGACCCAAAACACACGGCCAAGGCAACAAAGGAGTGGCTCAAGAAGAAGCACATTAAGGTCCTGGACTGGCCTAGCCAGTCTCCAGGCCTTAATCCCATAGAAAATCTGTGGAGGGAGCTGAAGGTTCGAGTTGCCAAACGTCAGCCTCGAAACCTTAATGACTTGGAGAAGATCTGCAAAGAGGAGTGGAACAAAATCCCTCCTGAGATGTGTGCAAATCTATTGGCCAACTACAAGAAACGTCTGACCTCTGTGATTGCCAACAAGGGTTTTGCCACCAAGTACTAAGTCATGTTTTGCAGAGGGGTCAAATACTTATTTCCCTCATTCAAATGCAAATCAATTTATAAATTTTTTACATGCGTTTTTCTGGATTTTGTTGTTGTTATTCTGTCTCTCACTGTTCAAATAAACCTTCCATTAAAATTATAGACTGATCATGTCTTTGTCAGTGGGCAAACGTAAAAAATCAGCAGGGGATCAAATGCTTTTTTCCCTCACGTGTTATACATTTTCACTCAGGTATACACTACCAGTGAAAAGCTTTAGAACACCTACTCATTCAAGGGTTTTTCTTTATTTTTACTATTTTTTACATTGTAGAATAATAGTGAATACATCAAAACTATGAAATAACACATATGGAATCATGTAGTAACCAAAAACGTGTTAAGCAAATCAAAATATATTTTATACTTCAATTAGCCACCCTTTGCCTTGATGACAGCTTTGCACACTCTTGGCATTCTCTCAACCAGCTTCACCTGGAATGCTTTTCCAACAGTCTTGAAGGAGTTCCCACATATGCTGAGCACTTGTTGGCTGCTTTTCCTTCACTCTGCCATCCGACTCATCCCAAACCATCTCAATTTGGTTGAGGTCGGGGGATTGTGAAGGCCAGGTCATCTGATGCAGCACTCCATCACTCTCCTTCTTGGTCAAATAGCCCTTACACAGCCTGGAGGTGTGTTGGGTCATTGTCCTGTTGAAAAACAAATGATAGTCCCACTAAGCCCAAACCAGATGGGATGGCGTATCGCTGCAGAATGCTGTGGAAGCCATGCTGGTTAAGTGTGCCTTGAATTCTAAATAAATCACAGACAGTGTCACCAGTAATGCACCTCCACACCATAACACCTCCTCCTCCATGCTTTACGGTGGGAAATACACATGCGGAGATCATCCGTTCACTAACATCGCGTTTCACAAAGACATGGCAGTTGGAACCAAAAATCTCCAATTTGGACTTCAGACCAAAGGACATATTTCCACCGGTCTAATGTCCATTGCTCGTGTTTCTTGGCCCAAGCAAGCTCTTCTTCTTCTTATTGGTGTCCTTTAGTAGTGGTTACTTGCAGCAATTCAACCATGAAGGCCTGATTCACACAGTCTCCTCTGAACAGTTGATGTTGAGGTGTGTCTGTTACTTGAACTCTGTGAAGCATTTATTTGGGCTGCAATTTCTGAGGCTGGTAACGCTAATGAACTTATCCTCTGCAGCAGAGATAACTCTGGGTCTTCCAATCCCTGTGGATTGATGAGGAATTGAAAAATTGTATGGTTGAGAGGGATGAGGCAAAAGAATTGCAAATAAGTCTGGCTGTACAACCGATTGGCAAACATATTGCAAATTGAAAAATCATGTGACTAAACTGAATAAAAAGAAGCAGAAACTACACTATGAAACAAAGATAAATGACATAGAAAATGATAGTAAAAAGCTTTGGAGCACCTTAAATGAAATTTTGGGAAATTCATCACAAAACCAACTGATATTGTCAACTACTTTAATGATTTTTTCATTGGCAAGATTAGCAAACTTAGGCATGACATGCCAGCAACAATTGCTGACACTACACATCCAAGTATATCTGACCAAATTATGAAAGACAAACATTGTAATTTTGAATTCCGTAAAGTGAGTGTGGAAGAAATGAAAAAAGTATTGTCTATCAACAATGACAAGCCACCGGGTTCTGAGGATAATAGTGGACGATATTGCCACTCCTATTTGCCATATTTTCCATTTAAGCCTACTAGAATGTGTGTGCCCCCAGGCTTGGAGGGAAGCAAAAGTCATTCCGCTACCTAAGAATAGTAAAGCCCCCTTTACTGGCTCAAATAGCCTACCAATTAGCCTAATACCAACCCTTAGTAAACTATTGGAAAAAATTGTGTTAGACCAGATACAATGCTATTTTACAGTAAACAAATTGACAGCAAACTTTCAGTATGCTTATAGAGGACATTCAACAAGCACAGCACTTACACAAATGACTGATGATTGGCTGAGAGAAATTGATAATAAAAAGATTGTGGGGGCTGTATTGTTAGACTTCAGTGCGGCTTTTGACATTATCGATCATAGTCTGCTGCTGGAAAAACGTATGTGTTATGGCTTTACTCCACCTGCTCTATTGTGGATACAGTTACCTGTCGAACAGAACACAGAGGGTGTTCTTTAATGGAAGCCTCTCCAACATAATCCAGGTAGAATCAGGAATTCCCCAGGGCAGCTGTCTAGGCCCATTACTTTTTCAATATTTACTAATGACATGCCACTGGCTTTGAGTAAAGCCAAAGTGTCTATGTATGCAGATGACTCAACACTATACATGTCAGCTACTACAGCGACTGAAATGACTGCAACACTTAAGTTGAGTTGCAGTTAGTTTCAGAGTGAGTGGCAAGGAATAAGTTAGTACTAAATATTTCTAGAACTAAAAGCATTGTATTTGGAACAAATCATTCACTAAACTCCAAACCTCAATTAAATATTGTAATAAATAATGTGGAGATTGAGCAAGTTGAGGTGACTAAATTGCTTGGATTAACCCTGGATTGTAAACTGTCATGGTCAAAACATATTGATACAACAGTAGCTAAGATGGGGAGAAGTCTGTCCATAATAAAGCGCTGCTCTAGCTTCTTAACAGCACTATCAACAAGGCAGGTCCTACAGGCTCTAGTTTTATCGCACCTGGACTACTGTTCAGTCGTGTGGTCAGGTGCCACAAAGAGGGACTTAGGAAAATTGCAATTGGCTCAAAACAGGTCAGCACGGCTGGCCCTTGGATGTACACAGAGAGCAAACAATAATAATATGCATGGCAATCTCGCCTGGCTCAAAGTGGAGGAGAGATTTACTTCATCACTGCTTGTGTCTGAGAGGTGTTGACATGTTGAAAGCACCGAGCTGTCTGTATGAATGACTGGCACACAGCTCAGACACCCATGCATACCCCACAAGACATGCCACCAGAGGTCTCTTCACAGTCCCCAAGTCCAGAACAGACTAAGGGAGGCGCACAGTACTACATAGAGCCATGACTACAAGTCCTCATGAGAGCCAGTTTCATCATAGCGCTGGATGGTTTTTGCGACTGCACTTGAAGAAACTTTCAAAGTTCTTGAAATGTTCCGTATTGACTGACCTTCATGTCTTAAAGTAATGATGGACTGTCATTTCTCTTTGCTTATTTGAGCTGTTCTTGCCATGATATGGACTTGGTCTTTTACCAAATAGGGCTATCTTCTGTATACCCCCCCCCCCCCCCCCCCCACCACCTTGTCACAACACAACTGATTGGCTCAAACGCATTAAATTAACTTTTAAGCAGGCACACCTGTTAATTGAAATGCATTCCAGGTGACTACCTCATGAAGTTGGTTGAGAGAATGCCAAGAGTGTGCAAAGCTGTCATCAAGGCAAAGGGTGGCTATTTGAAGAATCTCAAATATAAAATATATGTTGATTTGTTTAACACTTTTGGTTACTACATGATTCCATATGTGTTATTTCATAGTTTTAATGTCTTCACTATTATTCTACAATGTAGAAAATTGTAAAAATAAAGAAACTCTTGAATGAGTAGGTGTTCTAAAACTTTTGACCGGTAGTGTATATCAAACATACTGTAGTATTGTACTGTAGTATCTTGTTCAACTGCTCACCGTTAACAACCTCTCTAAAATACACCAAGTAGTATGGCACTTCACTTTCAAAAACATATTCTCAATTTCACTGTTGATTTCCACAGAGGACAACAAATGAGCTTCCCTCTTCCAACTCATTATAAATGTTTTATGGATATAGCAGCACATTATGTAAAACACTGCTTCATTCCCTGCAGTGCAGACATTATCATCTCAACATGTTTCACCTTATCAATATTAAAAGGGTATGTTTGGCCAATGGATATACAGCACCAAGAGAGGGTCCTGCTGGCTGGGGTACCATCCATTGAACACCCATACATCAGATGCTTATAAATTCATGAATCCGTTCCTGGGAGTATGTTAATGACTGAAAAAGGTAGCTGCACTGCGTCAAACAGCATGTCCCGATTTGAAGTCATGCATGCAAACAGGATCATTATGTATAGTGAGAGAGTGCGAGACAGCGAGTGTGTTCTGTAGTGGAGAGGTAGGGAGAATCCATATCCACTGTCACCATCACTGACTGCAGTTTTGTTGCTAAGCAACGTACACATTTCAATTGGCCAGGCCTGGTGATCCTCCCTCCCATTGGGGGCACTGTAATAAGTGCCATTTAGAAGGCGCTTTAATCCAAAACAATTTACAGTACAGGGAGTACATACATTCACATACTAAAAATGTGTCTCTTGCTTTTCCATCACCACCAGAGGCATCATGCCCATAGGCGGCACAGGTGCACGTTCCCCATCAGATCTGCCCTGTTTAAAATAAAATACAAAAATATATTTTGGTTGTTTCTCTGTAATACTACTAGCCACCTATCAAATATATGAAGTTGGCTTTAACTAGCCCAGATTGGGAACCTATCTCCCGACCTCATAACTGGCTACCAAGAAGAAGCCATTTCAGACTATAAATCAAGTTAGATTAGCTAGCTTGCTACTGGCAAGGTTGGTAGACTTTAGAAAAGCAAGCAATTAGTAAATGTACTGAATAAGACTCACATTCCTTTCAATCTTTTGCCTAGATTTTAGCAGAGAAGCATTTTTTGTTTCTTTAAAAAAAATTACCACCAGTCAGGAGGATACAGACAGCTCAAGAGGTATGCTTAGATATGCAGAAAAATACATATTTTTTACATAGAATTAAGCTTATCCTCACAGCCATCCTCACATTGTGCCCCCTCAGATGTGTGGGGTGCATGACGCCCCTGATCACCTACCAACTGAGCCATACTGGACCTTCAACTTGAGCACTGTGCTACTCCTTACCAATAGGGGTCTCTGCTGGAGTTCCCTGATGGTGCTCTGTGCTAGCTCCAGCTGAGCTGTGGCCTCTCCGCTCTGCTGCCTGACCGTGGCCAGCTCCCGCATGACCAGGTAGGTCTCCTCTGCCTCCTGGGCACGCGTCACTTGTCCCTTTAGGACATAACCAACCGAGGGGTAGGATGAGCAGGGAGCACCACGGGGGTGGGATGGACGGAAGGGACGGGCAAATCAAAGATTATATAAAAGTGGGATTGGTAGTTTTGAAACGCATGCCGTTTTATTTCTCTGCAAATGTTTTTGATTGAGTCTCATTGGTTGACTCTGATTGATAGCTCTAAGCATTTTATATTTTGGCATGGTTCGAGATACTTGGGCATGCTGTTATGGGTGATTAGTTTTAGCCAAAGCGATCTGATTTCAATGTCCTCATTTTACATTAATTGATTTAAAAAATACTGTAATCAAAAAACAATTTATTGTGCCATCATTTAAAGGTAAAATTATGAGCATGCAAAAGCTATGTTGAGATAGAGAGAAATCTGAGAGGTGAAAAGTGCAACGTGAGGGGTGGGTGGGGGGGTAAAGGAAGAGAAAATAAAGTTTATACCTGGATCAATCTATCTGCCAAGGAAGCACTTTCCTACAAAACAGAAATATCCACAAGAGAGAGACCAAATAACACACAGTTATAACCTAAATAAATTGACAAAACACTTGATTTTGTTTTAAAAGGGAAATTCAATATTCATTGTCCTTCCTCCATCATTTTGGCAACCGATTAAGTCTATACGTAATTAATTAACAATTTGAGACAAATCCTAACTTCCACTTCAGTTTATTTTCACTTAGCCATGCATGCATTGATGTCAATGGGAGGAGTTAGGATTCGCCCCATAGTGTCTTAGTAATTGAGCCAGTTTCGGAGGTAGTAAAGGAACATGGTCTTCAAGGGTGGTGGTGATGATAAGTCGCTGTGATAAGGTTGTGGGGGGTAAAAATTAGAATTAGGTGGTGGTGGTAAGACAGACAACATGGTGATGAGTTTCAGACAGGCAAAGCAGAATAATAAGGCTAAAAAGGGCTAAGAGGAAAAGCAGCATTAGAAGTTAGCCATAAACAGCACAATAACAGTTGTTTAGATGAAGCCATGCTTTTTTAGGTTCGTGCCACACGGTTACGTTTTAGAAGCTTTTGAGTCATTCCAGTTAATATTTTGGGTATGAAGTTGCATCCTGTTGTTTGAAGCGATACTGTGATATGAGTGAGTGGTTATGTCCCAGACAGAGCCTGGTCGTTTGGGACAGATACGGAGGCTGTCCTCTGCCCAGGCCGCATTCATGGCGTCCTGGTGCTCTGACCAGTCCTGGCAATGCCTGTATCTTTGTGCTCTGACAAACACAGCGGACGATCCAAACAACATGCGTAACAACGGCAGCCGTGTACTCTGGCATGCAGTGCTCCTCTGCATCATCTTAGAGTGTACAACCATCACTCTCACAGTGAGTCCCATCAAGCGTATTACAGTTACAGCTTTAGTTAGTTAGTGTCCGGTGGAATTACAAAGAGCCCCAGAATGTAGCCTTGTGGAGCTCCACAGCCCGCTACAGTTTTAGAGTTTGACTTACCTGGTCCTGAGTGTGGATCTCAAGACTGAGACATGCATCTCAATGGAAGACCTGCATTCCAAAGCCAACTAGGATCCCTTTATCCAATAAGATACACACTGACAACACTCATTCTCCCCGTCAGTGATTGGACATTGGACAGACAGCCCACACCAGCACAGCCCAGTTAGTAACAACAACTCTGCCATGTGTCTTTAGTGACCAACGAGAGACACATGATGCATGAACAAGTACTTGATGGGTTAATGTATGTAGGGGGGGTTATGGTCTTGTTGTGTGAATAGCCACGACAAGGGTCCACTGGTATAATATGGCTTATTATTATGACTGGTGTCATGACATAGGATGGCAAGGAGTGCCACGGTTCAACTTGTAACAACCTCTTTCAACTCCTCCTTTTCACTCACTTTCTCCAGTGTGTCTATCCTCTGTTTCAGCAGTCTGTTCTCTGTGCGCAACCTCTGCAAAACAAGGACACACAAAAGATCATTATTCCAAACATCATACACAACTGGGTTTTTAAGTACAGTGCACTCAACTTAGGGAGGGCGGTTATAGTGATCAACCGCTTATAATGATCAAATGGAGCTGTACTGATGTGATGACTATAAGAGTGCATGGGTAATACGGCCAAACTAAAAACTCCACCACTCACCTTAATCTCCACCTGCTCCTCCATCTCCTTAGTTTTGATTGCAGTGTATTCCCTTTCTAACCTGAAAACAGGAGTTATACAGCATCAATACAGAGCACTGGCACCACTTGTACTTGCAGCAAGCATCCATCTCCAGTAACTACTGTTGCCATGACAGCTCAAGGGCCAAATCAATCAATTACATCTGCAGTTGTCACAGACGTGCTTTTACAGTAACCCGGCCTAGACCCCAGAGAGCAAGCAGAAGCGTACTACTCACTTCTTCATCTTCTTGGCATTGTACTTGACGTTATAAGCAGCCAGGATGACCTTGTCTGGTCCACTTTCCAGCTGGTGGGGAATTACCCTCTGAAAGTACTACAGCAGAGCAGGGAAAGACGATGGGTGAGTACCAGACAGACATGCTCAAATAAAGCAACTTCAAGTGTGTTTGTCTTTCAATCTGTATCCCATTGCCTGGTCCCAGATCAGTTTATGCCAACTCTTATGGTCATTGTCACGACAGAACAAACAGATCTGGGACCAGATTATGTATTTTATGCCTGCTAGTAACATTTGCCCCTCAGGGATGAAAAAAGTATATTGAATTGATAATTGTGTGCATTAACTCAGACAGAGTTGTTATTCCAATGGTTATGGCTGCTCAGTCATACCTGTAACATTCCCTCCATATCGAGCTGTATGAGTTCTGCCTGGTTCATCTGTAGGATGGCCAGCCCCACACGGAACACTATCTCTAGACCCTGAGACAAGCATTGCATGATCATAGCATTACATTATCTAGTAACACACGGAACACTATCTTCAGACCCTACGACAAAAGATGCACTGCGTTACCGAGGTGAAATTGAATTTTAGTCCACAAGATTTTACGTTATGTCCTTTTGGCCAAGGCCACCAGAGGGTGCCAATTGCTTGCATTTACTCACAGCCCGTTGTGTTTGCTGTAATACAAACTATATTCTGGACTCACTTGAAGTAGATTGTCAAACATGAGTAAATCAGAAATGTTCTTTAAAGCTACAATCTGAGATTTGTTTTCAGCAAAATGGCAGCCGTGCCACTTGTTTTGGTATACAGTTGAGGGATGAGGATTGCACCTAACTGGACTCACCTCTAACATGAAGATATCAAAGATCCTGGTGGCAACAGGGAGAGGGAATGAGGTGAGGAAGATCGTGAGGAACCAGGAAGAAGCATACATAGAGGTGTGGAAACTCTGGGCCTGGAAGTGGACATGGAGGTCTGGGAGAAGTTCCTGAAGGAGAGAGGGGGATGTTGGGAGAAAGAGAGAGAGAGAGAGAGAGAGAGATAAATAATATATTAAAACACATAACTTTTTACACATTTTGTTACGTTACAGACTTATTCTAAAATGTATATTACATAATATTTCCCCTCATCAATCTACACACAATACCCCATAATGACAAAGTGAAAACAGGTTTTTAGAATTTACATAAGTATTCAGACCCTTCGCTATGAGACTCGAAATTGAGCTCAGGTGCATCCTGTTTCCATTGATCATCCTTGAGATGTTTCTACAACTTGATTGGAGTCCACCTGTGGTAAATTCAATTGATTGGACATGATTTGGAAAGGCACACACCTGTCTATATAAGCCTGGGTCTAGATGAGACACTGTCCATCTAAGGTTTCCCAGGATCAAGGTGTAACTGTGGACTGCCCTGTATTCAATCTGTATTCATGCCCTGTATTCATGCCCTGCATTCAGCACCAAGCAGGGCTACTGACTCCATTTAAATTATGCACCATGAACCTACTGTACAACTCCATTGTATTGAGAACTATTGTGTTTCCATTTTGGAGAGCAAAAACCAAGCCATGAGGTCGAAGGAATTGTCCGTAGAGCTCCGAGACAGGATTGTGTCGAGGCACAGATCTGGGGAAGAGTACCAAAAAATGTCTGCAGCATTGAAGGTCCCCAAGAACACAGTGGGCTCCATCATTCTTAAATGGAAGAAGTTTGGAACCAAAGACTCTTCCTAGAGCTTGCCGCCTGGCCAAACTGAGCAATCAGGGGAGAAGAGCATTGGTCAGGGAGGTGACTAAGAACCCAATGGTCACTCTGACTGAGCTCCAGAGTTCCTCTGTGGAGATGGGAGAACCTTCCAGAAGGACAACCATCTCTGCAGCACTCCACCAATCAGGCCTTTATAGTAGAGTGGCCAGACCATAAAAAACAAGATTATCTGGTCAGTTGTTTTTTTTTTGTACATTTGCAAAAATTGCTAAAAACCTGTTTTTTTCTTTGTCATTATGGGGTATTGTGTGTAGATTGATGAAGGGGAATAAACAATTGAATCGATTTTAGAATAAGGCTGTAACGTAACAAAATGTGGAAAAAGTCAAAGGGTCTGAATATTTTCCGAATGCCTTGTATGACCCATCATGACAGTGACTGATTGTCATGATAAGAGCGTCTGCTATTTTTTTAAATATAAAATTGTTATTCATGATATTGTCTCAGTAAATCAACATTCTAACATAAGTCTCCTGAGTGGCGCAGTGGTCTAAGGCACTGCATCGCAGTGCTAACTGTGCCATTTGAGATCCTGGTTCGAATCCAGGCTCTGTCGCAGCCGGCCGCGACCGGGAGACTCATGGGCGGCGCACAATTGGCCCAGCGTTGTCCAGGGTAGGGGAGGGAATGGCCGGCAGGGATGTAGCTCAGTTGATAGAGCATGGCGTTTGCAACGCCAGGGTTGTGGGCTCGATTCCCACGGGGGGCCAGTATAAAAAAAAAAGATATGTATTCACTAACTGTAAGTCGCTCTGGATAAGAGCGTCTGCTAAATGACTAAAAAATGTAAATGTAAAAATGTAAATTCTAAGGACAGTCTAACTGTGCATCAATATTGCTCTGTAAAGGTTTGTCATTCATTCAATCGTGTTTCGAACCCACGCCAGGTCTTACCTGGATCATACACTCAAACTGGTACATGCAGAGTCCCAGCTCAGCCATACTGGGTTTGAACAGTTCTCTCAGTCTATAGTCCTGCATCAGTTTCACAAACACACAGAACGCCTCCTCTTCTGGCATCTGGTGACAGGGACACACACCAAACAACACTTAGAGATCATCAAGCAGATTACTTAACCTTCAACAAAATACTTCTTCAAACACCATCTAGACTAGAGGACAGACACACCCACACCGATTTAGGGCGGTTTTCACGGACACAGATTAAGCCCTAGACTAAAATATCCCTTCAATTGAGTTTTTTTTGTCCAGGACTAGGCTTAATTTGTGTCTGGGAAACCAGCCCTTAGAGACTTCACAATTTAATTAAACCATCAACAAAACATGTCTTCCTCATATACATAAAATACACATTAATCAGTTAATCACATGAACTCTCAGTACACAGTTCTCTCTCAGAAAATGTACTCTGATCAATATAATGAGTCTTTGTCAATGTGTGTAGTGGCAGGCTGCATGTGACCCATGACACAGCATGTTTCTATGTGAGTGAGGCTATGGGGTAGACAGCGTGTGTGTGTGTGTGTGTGTGTGTGTGTGTGTGTGTGTGTGTGTGTGTGTGTGTGTGTGTGTGTGTGTGTGGGGGGGGGGTAGACAGTATCATTATTACCTGCATGAGCAGCAGTCCGACGATGAAAGCACTTCCCTGACAGTAGCCGACCTCCCGGTCCACCAGAGAGTAGGCCTGCGACAACAGGAACAGGAAGTGACCTCGGATCATGGTCATGAGAGGAGAGCTAAGCACTTGGGGCTGCAACTCAATTCCCAAATGGCAACCTATTCCCTACATAGTGCACTACTTTTGACAAAAAGTAATGCAATATATAGGGGATAGAGTGCCATTTGGGACGCAGCCTGGGTCTAGATAAGAAACTGTCCAGCTACGGTTTTCCAGGATCAAGGTGTAACTGTGGACTCAACACTTTCTGCCCTGTATTCAATCTGTGTTCATGCCCTGTATTCAAGCTGTATTCATGCCCTGCATTCAAGCCCTGCATTCAAGCCCTGCATTCAGCACCAAGTAGGGCTACTGACTCCATTTAAATTCTGCACCCTGAACCTACTGTACAACTCCATTGTATTGAGAACTATTGTGTTTCCATTTTTTATATACACTACAAAAGGTATGTGGACACATGTTCCAAAATCATGGGCATTAATACGTTGGTCCCCCCTTTGCTGCTATAACAGCCTCCACTCTTCTGGGAAGGCTTTCCACTAGATGTTGGAACATTGCTGCGTGGACTTGCTTCCATTCAGCCACAAGAGCATTAATGAGGTTGGGCACTGATTAAGCCAGTCTTCCAATTCATCCCAAAGGTGTTCTTCCACACCGATCTCGACAAACCATTTCTGTATGGACCTCGCTTTGTGCATGGTGGCATTGTCATGCTGAAACAGGAAAGGGCCTTGCCCAAACTGTTGCCACAAAGTTGGAAGCACAGAATCGTCTAGAATGTCATTGTATGCTGGAGAGTTAAGATTTCCCTTCACTGGAACTAAGGGGCCTAGCCGGAACCATGAAAAACAGCCCCAGACCATTATTCCTCCTCCACCAAACTTTACTGTTGGCACTACGCAGTCGGGCAGGTAGTGTTCTCCTGGCATCCACCAAACCCAGATTCGTCCATCGGACTGCCAGATGGTGAAGCGTAATTCATCACTCCAGAGAACGCGTTTCCACTGCTCCAGAGTCCAATGGCGGCGAGCTTTACACTACTCCAGCCGACGCTTGGCATTGCGCATGGTGATCTCAGGCTTGTGTGCAGCTGCTTGGCCATGGACACCCATTTCATGAAGCTGCCGACGAACAGTTCTTGAGCTGACGTTGCTTCCAGAGGCAGTTTGGAACTCGTGAGTGTTGCAAACGAGGACAGACGATTTGTTAAATCGCTTCAACACTCAGCGGTCCCGTTCTTTTATTTTGTTGGTATTTTACCCCCGTTTTCTCCCCAATTTCGTGGTATCCAATTGGTAGTTACAGTCTTATCCCATCGCTGCAACTCCCATATGGACACGGGAGAGGCAAAGGTCGAGTCGTGCGTCCTCCGAAACACAACCCAACCTAGCCGCACTGCTTCTTGACACAGTGCCCGCTTAACCCGGAAGCCAGCCGCACCAATGTGCCGGAGGGAACACCGTACACCTGGCGACCGAGTCAGCGTGCACTGCGCCCGGCCCGCCACAGGAGTCACTAGTGCGCGATGGGAAAAGAACATCCCTGCCGGCCAAACCCTCCCCTACCCTGAACGGCGCTGGGCCAATTGTGCGCCGCCCCATGGGTCTCCCGGTCGCGACAAGCTGTCCCGTTCTGTGAGCTTGTGTGGCCTACCACTTCGCGGCTGAGCCATTGTTGCTCCTAGACGTTTCCACTTCACAATAGCAGCATTTACAGTTGACCGGGGCAGCTCTAGCAAGGCAGAAATGTTACGAACTGACTTGTTGGAAAGGTGGCATCCTATGACGGTGCCACATTGAAAGTCACTGAGCTCTTCAGTAAGGTCATTCTACTGCCAATGTTTGTCTATGGAGATTGCATAGCTGTGTGCTCAATTTTATACACCGGTCAGCAACGGGTGTGGCTGAAATAGCCGAATCCACTAATTTGAAGGGGTGTCCACATACTTATGTATATATTGTGTATTTTCTTTCTTATTTATGCATCGTTGGGAAAGAGTTTCAATGTCTACACCTGTTGGTCTACACCTGTTGTGTTCAGCGCATGTGACAAATTACATTGAATTTTATTTGAGAAACAGCTTTTCTTGAACAATTCTGCCTCTGGTTGAAGAATAAAATAAGCAGCTCTAATGCAATATTGTTCTTCATCTTCTATTGACAGGACCGTAAACTGATTGCCAGTCTGTTTGTGCTATCCTGCCAAGAGCACAAACAGATCTGGGACCAGGCTAATAGGACAGATTGTAGGAGACAGACAGGAAAGATGTGTCGAAAGACAGGACCAGGATTCATTCCAGTTAAGTATATTATATACAGGTAACTGGCAAAATAAAGGAAACACCAACCTAAAGTGTCTTAATAGGGTGGGCCACCATCTGCTGTTCTGCCCTTGAGCAAGGCAGTTAACCCCCACAACAACTTATCCCCGGGCGCTGATTATGTGGATGTCGATTAAGGCAGCCCCCCGCACCTTTGGGTTAAATGCAGAAGACACATTTCATTTGAATGCATTCAGTTGTGCAACTGACTAGGTATCCCTCCTTTCCCATGAGCCAGAACAGCTTCAAGATTCTACAAGTGTCTGGAACTCTATTGGAGGGATGCGACACCATTCTTCCACAAGAAATTCTATCATTTGGTGTTTTGTTGATGGTGGTGGAAAACGCTGTCTCAAACGCCGCGCCAGAATCTCCCATAAGTGTTCAACTAGGTTGAGATCTGGTGACTGAGACGGCCATGGCATATGGTTTACATCGTTTTCATGCTCATCAAACCATTCAGATATTACTTGTGCCCTGTGGATGGGGGCATTGCCATCCTATGGGGGGCACAGCCATGGTAGCCAAAATAATGGCCTGCCCAGCATTTCTATATATGACCTTAAGCATGGGATATTAATTGTTTAATTAACTCAGGAACCACACCTGTGTGGAAGCACCTGCTTTCAATATACAGTACTTTGTATCCCTAATTTACTCAAGTGTTGTCATTATTTTGGCAGTTACCTGTATGTGCTGAAGGCGCCAGCGCTAACAGCTAAACCAACTCCAGAGCACACTAAAGCAATCTGTTGCGGGTATAGGTTTCAAACAAAGCACTAGGGTTGCAAAATTCCGGTAACTTTTCAAAAATCCTGGTTGAAGAGTTCCGGGTTTGAGGATTCTCTCGTGGGAATTTTCCGTAATAAAAAAAACAACCTATGATGCATTCACCTTCATAACATTGAAGAGTACTTCCTGTCCCAAGCTGTCCTCCTTAAAGAAGTCATGCTCAGGATACGTCCGGGCGATGTCCCGGCGAATCAGCTTCTCACATGGTGATGTCATCTTCAGCAGCTCAGAGTACTGGTCTTTGATAGGCATGTTCTGGGCGTTGCATAGCAACTGCCATACTATCGCTCGGAAGTGATGGGGGATCCCTTTTCTGACCAGATCCTGTTTGGAGAGAAGAAAAATATTGGTCAGTGCTATTCGGGATCCTTGGGCCGTTCCTACCCTAAACATAACCCTTACCTAACCTTAACCATTTTACATTTCAACGGGGTAGGGACATCCCAAGGATCCCTGATAGCATGGACCAAAAATATAAATCAGTATTTACTTTAGTTTGAAAATGCTAATATTACCAATTGGTGTCAGTGGCTAAACCAAAGTGTGGTTTTCAGTTTACCCGACCTTGTCTACAGATTGCTTTCAAAGTATATAAATAGTTTTGCTGAACTAGGCTATCCCTAATCATTAACGTAACATGACAACAGCCTATTCCCCCTCAGGAGACTGAAAAGATTTGGCATGGGTCCTCAGATCCTCAAAAAGTTATACAGCTGCACCATCGAGAGCATCCTGACTGGTTGCATCACCGCCTGGTATGGCAACTGCTCGGCCTCCGACCACAAGGCACTACAGAGGGTAGTGCGTACGGCCCAGTACAACACTGGGGCCAAGCCTCCTGCCATCCAGGACCTCTATACCAGGCGGTGTCAGAGGAAGGCCCTCAAAATTGTCGAAGACTCCAGCCACCCTAGTCATAGACTGTTCTCTCTGCTACCGCACAGCAAGCGGTACCGGAGCGCCAAGTCTAGGTCCAAAAGGCTTCTCAACAGCTTCTACCCCCAAGCCATAAGACTCCTGAACAGCTAATCATGGCTACCCTGACTATTTGCACTGCCCCCCCAATCCCCCTAATTTACGCTGCTGCTACTCTGTCTATTATTTATGCATAGTCACTTTAACTCTACCCACATGTACATATTACCTCAATTACCTCGACTAGCCAGTGCCCCCGCACATTGACTCTGCACCGGTACCCCCCTGTATATAGCCTCCCTACTGTTATTTTATTTTACTGCTCCTCTTTAGTTATTTGCTTTTATTTGTTTTACTTAACTTAATTTTTTTAATGCATTGTTGGTTAAGGGCTTGTAAGTACAGTGAGGGAAAAAAGTATTTGATCCCCTCTCAATCAGAAAGATTTCTGGCTCCCAGGTGTCTTTTATACAGGTAACGAGCTGAGATTAAGAGTGTGCTCCTAAAGGGAGTGCTCCTAATCTCAGCTTGTTATCTGTATAAAAGACACCTGTCCACAGAAGCAATCAATCAGATTCCAAACTCTCCACCATGGCCAAGACCAAAGAGCTCTCCAAGGATGTCAGGGACAAGATTGTAGACCTACACAAGGCTGGAATGGGCTACAAGACCATCGCCAAGCAGCTTGGTGAGAAGGTGACAACAGTTGGTGCGATTATTCGCAAATGGAAGAAACACAAAAGAACTGTCAATCTCCCTCGGCCTGGGGCTCCATGCAAGTTCTCACCTCGTGGAGTTGCAATGATTATGAGAATGGTGAGGAATCAGCCCAGAACTACACGGGAGGATCTTGTCAATGATCTCAAGGCAGCTGGGACCATAGTCACCAAGAAAACAATTGGTAACACACTACGCCGTGAAGGACTGAAATCCTGCAGCGCCCGCAAGGTCCCCCTGCTCAAGAAAGCACATATACAGGGCCGTCTGAAGTTTGCCAATGAACATCTGAATTATTCAGAGGAGAACTGGGTGAAAGTGTTGTGGTCAGATGAAAACAAAATGGAGCTCTTTGGCATCAACTCAACTCGCCGTGTTTGGAGGAGGAGGAATGCTGCCTATGACCCCAAGAACACCATCCCCACTGTAAAACATGGAGGTGGAAACATTATGCTTTGGGGGTGTTTTTCTGCTAAGGGGACAGGACAACTTCACCGCATCAAAGGAACGATGGACGGGGCCATGTACCGTCAAATCTTGGGTGAGAACCTCCTTCCCTCAGCCAGGGCATTGAAAATGGGTCGTGGATGACAATGACCCAAAACACACGGCCAAGGCAACAACGGAGTGGCTCAAGAAGAAGCACATTAAGGTCCTGGAGTGGCCTAGCCAGTCTCCAGACCTTAATCCCATAGAAAGGAAGCTGAAGGTTCGAGTTGCCAAACGTCAGCCTCGAAACCTTAATGACTTGGAGAAGATCTGCAAAGAGGAGTGGGACAAAATCCCTCCTGAGATGTGTGCAAACCTGGTGGCCAACTACAAGAAACGTCTGACCTCTGTGATTGCCAACAAGGGTTTTGCCACCAAGTACTAAGTCATGTTTTACAGAGGGGTCAAATACTTATTTCCCTCATTAAAATGCAAATCAATTTATAACATTTTTGACATGCGTTTTCTGGATTTTTTTGTTGTTATTCTGTCTCTCACTGTTCAAATAAACCTACCATTAAAATTATAGACTGATTATTTATTTGTCAGTGGGCAAACGTACAAAATCAGCAGGGGATCAAATACTTTTTTCCCTCACTGTAAGCATTTCACTGTAATGTCTACACCTGTTGTATTCGGCTCATGTGGCAAATAAAATTTGATTTGATTTGAGTTGACAGAAAATATGTAGGCCTTGTTTTCTGAGTGTGTTTAGGAACATACTGGTATCCACGTAGAATGAAAACATTTAATGTGGTGTTCAGAGCAAACACAATCATGTGTCTCTGTGTGCTGCTACGCTCCAGTGTGTTTTCTCCACAGCACAGCATGTACCACAGTCAGTCACAGTCATTATAATACAATGTTCCACCACTAAATATAATCTAGTCAGTGAGGCCTTTTGCAGAGTGAAATTTTGTTATTGTAAATGACTGCCGATGTGACTCGATTAAGACATTTCCTCTGCAGAGGGGGAACACTGGCCAGTGGTGCTGGATGGAGTGTGTGTTAGTGTGTGTGCATAGTTGTAGTGTCTGTAGGCTACTTGTTGTTTTTGTGTGTGAGTATGTGTGCGTACAACCATGTGTGCATGCATGCTTTTGAGTGTGTGTGTGGTCAGGGGATCTTTCGCTCTCTCTCTCTGAGGTCAGTCTTGACAGTCCCAGCCTTGTAATGGAAACAATACACACTCTTACAATGTACACACACACACAGCCCCACTCCCTCCACTGGATGGTACTCAGACACACATGCAAGAGGAAACTCATGAATAACGCAAACAGCTGCAAATCCGCCTGGAAAATGACCTGCTCCCATTACTCTGTCTGTCACTACACTATGCTGTAAGCTCCTCAGTCTATTGTTGGTGTTCACTCAGTGTTATGTCCCAAATGGCACCCTATTCCCCATCTAAGGCTCTGGTCAAAAGTAATACAGTATGTAGGGCATAGTGTAGCAGTTGGGACGCAGCCTGCGACAGGCTCATTGTTAAGAGGCTTATCTTTTTTTCTGGAGCACCTTAGTGGAAAAGGGAGAATATGATGCATTTAATTCTTCGCTAGTAAGTTAAATTGAGAATATCAGTTTTCTGATGCAACAGAAAAGTAGTATGCTTAGTAGTCTCCTTCTGCCTTGCAAGTTGAAACACACTCGACTAGGTCAATAGGAGAGAGCAATGTCAACTCAGCAGTATAATAAATCCATGTAAAATAGCCTACACCTTAACAATAAATCCATTATTTATTTTAGACAGGTCTAAAGAAACATGATATAAAGAAAATGTAGTCTATTTCAGAAGAACAGAACAGCATACTCTGAGTTGTCCTTACGTCAGGTCCTGATCTGGCTATGCCATATGGCCGTGGGCAACACTAGTTCATTTAGCAGACAAGATTTGCTTAGAATTCTGTGGCATTATTTTATAGTATGAAGAATACAATTGAACAAAGGTGAATATTTTTCTCCATACGATTTGAGGGAGTGCGCACATGCGGCTATTCTGTGTTAAGCGGTTAACAAATAAATAGATACTCCTATATGCTTCATTTAGAGTTATTCATGTAACTTTAGTTGATCTCCAAACGTTGGGCTATATGTTTTGCATGATGCGACTAATGATTATTGGAAAAAAGTTGCATGAAAGGCATGAGCTCTGCTTAGTTTTTTTTGCGCAGGCTGTACACACTTCATCAGTCTCTCATTATTTTATTATTATTATATTATTTATTTATATTTATATTATTATTCACAATTTGACAAGCACTTGATAATGCCTCGAATTTCCCGGCGTCATCCCCTTTTTGTGTCCATAATGCCCCCTATAAAAATCCATGCATTTTGCAGCCAGTGGCCATTGTGGGCTAGGCTACATGAGGTGTGCGACCATGATTAGAAAAAGTTGCAAAAAAAGGCATTGTTTCTTGCCTTACGCTGGGCATAATTCACAAGTGATAGGCTAATATTGTCACCCATCAGACTATTCTTGATTTAATCTTATCATTATATATACTAAATAATATATGTGTGAAAATTGTTTTGACTTAGAATGGACCATTATCTTCCACCTGTCTCAAACAGGGGCAGGGGAAAAAATACATGTAATCTATGCACTTAAATAGCTAATGGAGGACGCTTTTCCCGTGGTTCATTTTCATGCCAGCCAGGTAGGATATACTCCTGTTGTAAAGAGAAGCAATGTGGTTAATATTAGGAATGTAGAGAAAATATTTTTATTTTTTTGTCATTTAGCAGACGCTCTTATCCAGAGCGACTTACAGGAGCAATTAGGGTTTAGTGCCTTGCTCAAGGGCACGTCGACAGATTTTTTTCACCTAGTCGGCTCTGGGATTAGAACCAGCGACCTTTCGGTTACTGGCACAACGCTCTTATCCACATCACCAACGAACTATCATGGTCCAAACACACCAAGACAGTCGTGAAGAGGGCACGACAAAGCCTATTCCCCCTCAGGAGACTAAAAAGATTTGGCATGGGTCCTCAGATCCTCAAAAAATTCTACAGCTGCACCATCGAGAGCATCCTGACTGGTTGCATCACCGCCTGGTATGGCAACTGCTTGGCCTCTGACCGCAAGGCACTACAGAGGGTAGTGCGTACGGCCCAGTACATCACTGGGGCAAAGCTCCCTGCCATCCAGGACCTCTATACCAGGCGGTGTCAGAGGAAGGCCCTCAAAATTGTCAAAGACTCCAGTCACCCTAGTCATAGACTGTTCTCTCTGCTACCGCACGGCAAGCGGTACCGGAGTGCCAAGTCTAGGTCCAAAAGACTTCTCAACAGCTTCTACCCCCAAGCCATAAGACTCCTGAACAGCTAATCATGGCTACCCGGACTATTTGCACTGCCCCCCCACCCCATCCTTTTTACGCTGCTGCTACTCTGTTAAGTATTTATGCATAGTCACTTTAACTCTACCCACATGTACATATTACCTCAACTACCTCAACTAGCCGGTGCCCCCGCACATTGACTATGCAACGGTACCCCCCTGTATATATAGCCTCCCTACTGTCACTTTATTCTATTGTATATATAGCCTCCCTACTGTCACTTTATTTTTTACTTCTGCTCTTTTTTTCTCAACACTTTTTTGTTGTTGTTTTATTCTTACTTTTTTGTTTAAAATAAATGCACTGTTGGTTAAGGGCTGTAAGTAAGCATTTCACTGTAATGTCTGCACCTGTTGTATTCGGCGCATGTGACCAATAAAATTTGATTTGATTTGATTTGATTTAACCACTAAGCTACCTGCCGCCCATAAATATAGTAGGCCTAGCCTATAGAAAGCTGATGAGAACCTCTTTTTAATAGAGACCATCACTCTGTTTTCTCACATAATTGCATAGCCTATATAAATGTTGCGCAACATGAGCTCATGGGCTCTCATGAAGTGTTTGATTAGATTTTCAAATACATTTGCATTGATGTCAGAGTGATTAGAGGGACAATAGAGTGCAGAGTACCAGGCAGTTGGCAAGTTTGGTAGGCTACTAATGACCATCAGCAGCTTCAGAGCTTGGAGAAGCCTAATTACCGTGACTAAACGGTCATGTGGAATTTGACTGCCTTCATGACTCATGACCGCCTGTGTTGTGGTAATACGGTCACCGTAACAGCCCCTAGTCATGTAGCCGAGGCCCAGTGCAAGGTTCTCCACCACTTTAACATACAATGCAAAACTAATGCATAACAGCACCTCCAATTTACAACTGTGCATTAAGGGCTCATTTCCTGGACCCAGATTAAGCCTAGTCCTGTACATTGCATGCTTTTTTGTCTGTGACCAGGTTTACGCTTGGTCCTGGAAACCATCCAGATGTATTATAAAAAGGGACACGTCATTGACATGGGTAATCAGACTTTCCCCTGTGCGACCAGAGAGACACAATCAGTTGGCAGTGAGCACTAACAGGACTACATTTAGACCAGAACTCACATAGTAAATTCAAGACAACAACAGTAAGGGTCAGTGAGAGACATCAAAAGTAACAGTCAGTATCTGGTGTGGCCACCAGCTGCATTAAGTACTGCAGTGCATCTCCTCCTCATGGACTGCACCAGATTTGCCAGTTCTTGCTGTGAGATGTTACCCCACTCTTCCACCAAGGCACCTGCAAGTTCCCGGACATTTCTGGGGGGAATGGCCCTAGCCCTCACCCTCCGATCCAACAGGTCCCAGACATGCTCAATGGGATTGAGATCCGGGCTCTTCGCTGGCCATGGCAGAACACTGACATTCCTGTCTTGCAGGAAATCACGCACAGAACGAGCAGTATGGCTGGTGGCATTGTCATGCTGGAGGGTCATGTCAGGATGAGCCTGCAGGAAGGGTACCACATGAGGGAGGAGGATGTCTTCCCTGTAACGCACAGCGTTGAGATTGCCTGCAATGACAACAAGCTCAGTCCAATGATGCTGTGACACATCGCCCCAGACAATGACGGACCCTCCACCTCCAAATCGATCCCGCTCCAGAGTACAGGCCTCGGTTTAACGCTCATTCCTTCGACGATAAACGCGAATCCGACCATCACCCCTGGTGAGAGCACTTTTTGCCAGTCCTGTCTGGTCCAGTGACGGTGGGTTTGTGCACATAGGCGACGTTGTTGCCGGTGATATCTGGTGAGGACCTGCCTTCCAACAGGCCTACAAGCCCTCAGTCCAGCCTCTCTCAGGCTATTGCGGACAGTCTGAGCACTGATGGAGGGATTGTGCGTTCCTGGTGTAACTCGGGCAATTGTTGTTGCCACCCTGTACCTGTCCCGCAGGTGTGATGTTCGGATATACCGATCCTGTGCAGGTGTTGTTACACCGTGGTCTGCCACTGCGAGGACGATCAGCTGTCCGTCCTGTCTCCCTGTAGCGCTGTCTTAGGCGTCTCACAGTACGGACATTGCAATTTATTGCCCTGGCCACATCTGCAGTCCTCATGCCTACTTGCAGCATGCCTAAGGCACGTTCACGCAGATGAGCAGGGACCCTGGGCATCTTTCTTTTGTCAGTAGAAAGGCCTCTTTAGTGTCCTACGTTTTCATAACTGTGAACTTAATTGCCTACCGTCTGTAAGCTGTTAGTGTCTTAACGACCGTTCCACAGGTGCATGTTCATTAATTGTTTATGGTTAATTGAACAAGCATGGGAAACAGTGTTTAAACCCTTTACAATGAAGATCTGTGAAGTTATTTGGATTTTTACGAATTATCTTCGAAAGACAGGGTCCTGAAAAAGGGACGTTTCTTTTTTTGCTGAGTTTAGTATTAACACCAGGAAACAGAGAGACTGCTGTACTGTACAGAATGTATTCACTAACTTCAATGATTACAAATATTTGTGCAACTTGTAGCTAGCTAGTAAGCGAACATAGGAACCTTGTATCTTCTCCGCCAATGCTCTTCTTGCTTTACTCTGAAGTATTCAGGCGAGGACGAGAGGAATCAAGCACAGATTATTGAGATTCACCCATAGTCTCTCACCTATATGTTTAGGGCCAAGGGGAAGGGGTTAGGGCCAAGGGGAAGGGTGAAGGGGTAGGGCTAAGGGGAAGGGGTTAGGTTTAGGGCCAATGGGAAGGGTGAAGGGGTAGGGCCAAGGGGAAGGGGTTATGGTTAGGGCACAGGGGAAGGGGTTATGGTTAGGGCACAGGGGAAGGGGTTAGGTCCAAGGGGTTGGGAGTGAATTGAGACTGGCTCTTCCAGAGAGTTGCCTCTGACTCTTACAGAAGTGTCTGGTGCACGAGACTACTCACCTTGAGCTGCTTCTCATTCTTCTTGCGGACGTCCTCCCACTCGTTAACGATGCGTCCCCAGAGAATCCAAGAGTCCTCCTCCAGGTGAGACAGGTTGGAGGAGGCAGAGGAGCTGGACACCAGGCTGGAGACGCTGTTCCTCCTGGAGCCGTTCACAGAGCGGAGTGACTTACTGTCCGTCTCCAGCAACCTAAAGAGACAAACACAACCAACATAACCATTCTACTCAGGCATACACCATCTCCAATGAGAGACATTATGTTGGGAGTTCGGACTGAATGAGAGAACATTTCATTTTATGTTCGGAAATGAAGGCAGCTCAAATTACATTATGGACGACAGATATAGATAATTTTATGTAAAGAACAAACACACGGAACCTGTCAATCTGAAACGTTTCATTAGTGTCAATACATATAGTCACTGTTTACAGTAGAAAGGATCAGAAACACATTGATTTGGGCAGTGAAAGCAGTGTGTGTTTACTTTACACTGTGGGTAAATGCTTGAGGCAAGTAGCCCAATAACAGATGCTGAACATTTATCCAAATCGTGCTGGCACTGGTAGACGGTGAAGCCACTAAATTCTAGCGCAGTGCTAAAAATGGAAAAGCTCATTCAAGAAGGAAGAATTTGCAGTGAGATGTATTACAGCTTTATGACAGAGCCATAGCCAAGGAGAGCCCACTGCAACAGCAGCCCCAGTGACGATGGGAGAAAAGCCTGCTGCCGCCACAGCTCTGAGCCCTAGATGTAGGGTCAATTGGGTTACAGACAGTACTAGGGACAAAGTGCATCTCTTAAAAACGTTGGCAGAACAACACATCCTTTCACAGCACTTCTGTTTCAGTTTCCTCAAACAAAAATGTAATGAACATGGATAGTAAAGCCTTGAACAACCATCATGATCAATCTACATCAGGGTCACTACTGTATTTTTACAGTCCACTCCAAACACGTTTTTCAGTCAGACTGATATTTCATGGAACCTTTAACTTGCATTAACGTCCCAAGTGTCCCAAGTGACAGAAAGCAAAGTGGACGTAGACAGTTGTTTACCTATTACTTCAATGAGATCCTACATTTGTACTAAACCCAAAACATGACCCCTTAAAAAAAGCCATAACACGTCAACAGTAATGTGGGTCAATACAAAGCAGCCTAAATAACTGCATGGCATCTGGTCTCATCTATTTGATTGAAAACATACCTAAAAGTGGGTTAGTGAGAATAAGCTGCAGGAGTATGTATAAGTTCACAGCAGACTGACCTTGTATCAGTCTGTTTTCTGCCATATGAACAGGACCCATGGCTGTGAGAGGGAACCATGCCTCCCAACCTATACAGTGCAGTGCTGACGAGCCCATAGTTATGTCCCAAATGGCAACCTATTCCCTATGTAGTCCTGGTCAAAAGTAGTGCACTTCATAGGGAATAGGGTGCCATTTGGGAAGAGGCTATGGCCAATGCTGGGACACAAAGGCTCAGAAACCTGATCTCGGAAGAAGACAAGGGCCTGGGCCTCTTGGCTCCAGGGTGACATCACTGGGAGTGCTCCCAGACTGGGTAGGGTTACAGCCATATTTGGGTCAGGAGGAAGGGGGCCAGGGTAGGCCTGGGTTACAGGGACAGCTAGAACAGCACCAGCAAGGGTTTTACAGTTAGGACATACATTCAACATATTGGGAAAGGTAGTAAATATTGCAGATGAATAATATTGTGTTGTGGGAATCATTTAAACAGTGATAGCTGCTTGCTTAATTAACACAGAGCTTTGCTTTCAATGGCAACTGATCTAGAAAGCAGTAGGCTAGATACCAGACCATGTATCATGAGAGGCCTAAAAAAGTGACAATGCTGTTGCTAAATGCAGAGCCCAATGTCATCACAGCTATAATGGGATGTGAGGGAATACACTACTAAGATATAGGCTTTAGCCATCCTAACAGGACAAGAAGTTGCAGTAGCAGCCTATGGCTTCTAGCAAACATACAAGATAACACTGAGTGTGCTCTTAAGAGGCTGTGTGGAAGCAGGAAGGGTAGGGAATGTTGAGGTCATTAATAAGGTTAGTCACTGGCCTGTAACGATTAACTTTCCTCTAACCTAAAAAGTCTATATGAGTTGTAGGCCTAAACCAACAAATGTAGCCTAGGCCTAATCAAAGAATATGGAAAGAACAATCAATTTCAACCATGGATTAAGTACTAACCGTCCACATATTAATATGTTCCTCTCTCCTTGGTAGATTTCATCATACTATGTCATTTTCAGAAATATATTCCAAATGTTGATACACTGTTCATTCTGGGCACACACTGTGACAGACAGAAAACCTGAATTCCCAATGTAGCCTAGTCATTGATCCTCAGCTAATAATTCACCAGTAGACAAAACATTCCATGCTGTGTTCTCACAGATGGCTCAAAACAAAATACATCAAACCATTTTTATTTACTGAAAAGATCCAGTACAGTCTCAATTACATTTGGCATACCCAGAGTAAGAGAAGAAAATCACAGAGATTCCTTGGAGGAACAACAGAGGATACAAAGGAACTATTTAAACGAGTTGCTCTGACGATGTGGTTTGTTGCCAAATAATCCATGTCAGTTAGACTTTGTCCTCAGTTATGGCCTCTCGGTAATGAGAAGAGAGCCATGGCATCTAGAAGGAGAAGCTAGGATCCTCGTGCTGCTTACCAGGATAAACTCATGGTGCCGTCTTCATGTCTTTGGTGTGTAGTTAGAAGATCCAGAGAAGCTACCAGCCTTTGCCTAATGAACTGGCTGAACTGAGTCTGGGACTCGTCTCTCTCAAACTCAAATGTCTTATCAACTTACACAGTACAAAGGCCTTCCCCTTCTCTCTGTGTGTGTGTGTGTGCGTGCGTGTGTGTGTGTGTTGCATTACATTAGTATCTATGATACTGCATTGATCTCAAAGTACACAAGTTCTCCCTCGGCGCTCACAGATGTATAATAACCTACTTTTTGCTGCACCTGCAGATCAGTGTCTTCCTGCTCAGTCATAAAGAGAGGATAACTAGGCCTAAACATAAAACTAAGATAGAAAAATCTTGTTCTCATCCGTTTTCATTTTGGTATTTAAAAAGGGGAGAAACAAGGAATTTCAACATCAACATCAGTGTGATATCATACAACAGTTTTTTTGTTGTTTCTTTTGTTGAAAGATTCTTCCTGCAGTGAATGTGTACTTTCTCTAACTTCTTCAAAGACACAGTGTTGGTTCGGAGGATACCACTTTTCTATGGGAGTCGATTAAGCTTATCAAACGTTGTAAACTCTGATAAAAATATGTAACATTTTTGTAGACAAGTCATTTTCAAACCCCAGTCACGATGATCCTCAAGACTGTACCTCCTACCCCTAACACTGCCTTTTCTAAGGGGGCAACAAGAGCTCTAAATGTCCCGGGATGAGCTCTCTTTATCGGGGTGACATGAGGATGAGGGTCTTTGTGAGCTGTGGCAGATGAGGTATTTTTGTCAGTCACAGGATAGGCAGGGCCTTTAATAAACTTTATAGGATTCGTATATATTTGTACAATTAGCAGCTATGAATCAAAACAGCAGAAATACTTTGAAAACAGTTACTGCAGACTTTTTCTAGCCCCAACTCGCACATGCTCATACTTGACTTGACTATTTTTATTCGCAAAGGTCACCTTGTCCTAGAGAGATTTACACGGTTATCAAAACGTCACGCCAGAGTAAGCATACACGAAACACAGCCCTTATCTTAAGTGTTTCTAAAATCCCCTATGGGGAAAAATGAAGTGGAAAAACGATTGGAACCATTTCCTTGTTTGACCGCTAGGTTTATGAGTAGTATGACTCATACTGTGGTACTTTATGCTCGCACTGTAGAGCCTTGCAAATTGACAAGCTTTATAAAGCATAGGGAAAACAGACCTATTCAAATATAATTCTCACTTCTGCTTCTCCCACACAGCAGACTGTGCAGAAAGTTCAGCCAGTATTAGCTTTACTAACTGCAACATGTGTCCTACTACTACAGCTCATCATCTCAACCCCACGAGCATCGCTCTCACACTTCAGACAGATCAGTTCACCCACATCTCACAGGGCTCTGACTGCAGTCTTCTTCACTTGAGATTGCCGTACTGAGTCGTCGTCCCAAATGGCAACCTATTCCCTTTATAGTGCACTACCTTTGACCAGGGCCCATCTCAGCGAGTCCCCTGCTGCACTTCTCCGGCCTCCTCGTTTCCATGTCAACACTCAGACTGCTTATAAAAGCAGGTTGAGAGCCACAGGAGGGAGAGAAAGGGGGAGAGTGGAGGGGGCAGCAGTGGCAGTGGGGTGTGTTGAGTCCAAATGCACTCGTCTTGTTTCAGCTAATGAACACTTCAGGGACAGACAGTGTGGCTGTAGGCCTACTTTTACTTAGATCCCTGTGAAAATGCCTTTGTAGCCACTGTCACTGTTAGTCACTGTTGTCGCTGTTATTCCATTGCTAAACAATTAAGATTGATATAAAAACTGCCTTTGTCACTGGTCTAATCAGTGCAAATGTTGTACATGAAAAGAGGAAAGGGAACAAAAATGTATTCATATGTTGACAGAGCTTGATTGATTGATTGATTCATTGATTAATTAATGTATTAATTCATAGTTGGTGCTCACCTGTTCTGCTCCTCCAGCTTGGCGAGCAGCTCCAGTTCATCTGGGCTGAGCTTAGCGGGCGATGCCGACGTGGGGGACGGGGAGGAGGAGGTGGCTGTGGTGGTCTGCAGGGACGAGGGCACCGTTGCCACCTGGCTAGACGAGGTGGCCACCTGGCTAGCCATCTGACTGACCGTGTGTGACACGGAATTCTTCACCCATGAGAGAGTAGAACTCAGCTTGCCTGCAACCTTGTCAGTCGCCACCTGTGGAGAAGGAGAACGAGAGAGGTAGAAAGAGAGAGAGATGTGGAGAGAAGCATGTGAGCTGTAAGAGGGATTTACAAGTACACTTCCTTCCTTCCTTCTGTCTGTTTTATGTATTTTGGGCTTTCTTTCCTGCAATGTTTTAGTTATGGACACTGGACAGCCAGAGAACAAAACAGACTATTTACAACCATCTCTAGACAGAATTGAACACTGATTTGTGACTGTTGGTGTGTAGTAAGGCTTTTCTTGGTGTGGATCCATGCTTTATCTAACGACTAACTTCCTCTTTTTCTTCTTCATCACACTGGTGCATCAAGAATTTACAAAACACTCACAGACTGTTAATGCAAAAGCAGCAGCTTGAAGGAAGAAAGACAAACTGGCTCAGTAGGTCGTTGATACAGACCCCTTGACTTATTCCACATTGTGTTGTGTTACAGCCTGAATTCAAAATGGATTAAATATATGTTTTTCCCTCACTGATTTATGCACATTTACTACCTAATGACAAAGTGAAAACATGTTTTTTATATATTTTAGCAAATTTATTGAAAATGAAATACAGAAATATCTCATTTACATAAGAATTCAGACTCCTGAGTTAATACATGTTAGAATCACCTTTGGCAGCAATTAAGCTGCGAGTCTTTCTGGTTAAGTCTCTAAGAGCTTTGCACACCTGGATTGTAGAATATTTGCACATTATTCTTTTTAAAATTCTCCAAGCTCTGTCAAGTTGGTTGTTGATCATTGCTAGACAGCCATTTTCAAGTCTTGCCATAGATTTTCAAGCCGATTTAAGTCAAAACTGTAACTAGGCCACTCAGGAACATTCAAAGTCATCTTGGTAAGCTATTCCAGCGTATAATTGGCCTTGTGTTTTAGGTTATTGTCCTAATGAAAAGGTGAATTTGTCTCCCAGTGTGTTAGAAAGCAGACTGAACCAGGTTTTCCTCTAGGAGTTTGCCTGTGCTTAACTCTATTCTGTTTATTTTTATATAAAAAAAGAACTCCCCAGTCCTTGCCGATGATAAGCATACCCATAACATGATGCAGCCACAACCATGCTTGAAAAAATGAAGAGTGGTACTCAGTGATGTGTTGGATTTGCCCCAAACATAACACTTTGTATTCAGGACATAAGGTTCATTTATTTAAAAAAAATGTTTTACCAATCTAACAATAGGTGCCCTTCTTTTGCGAGGTATTGAAAAACCTCCCTGTTCTTCGTGGTTAAATCTGTGTTTTAAATTCACTGCTCGACTGAGGGACCTTACAGATTATTGTATGTGTGGGGTACAGAGATGAGGTAGTCATTCAAAAATCATGTTAAACAACAATCCATGCAACTTGTTAAGCAACGTTTTACTCCTGAACTTATTTAGGCTTGCCATAACAAAGGGTGGAATACTTGACTTAACACCATTTTTTATTACATTTGTAAAAATGTCTACAAACATAATTCCACTTTGACATTATGGGGTATTGTGTGTAGGCCAGTGACACAAAATCACAATTTAATCCAGGCTGTAACACAACAAAATTTGGAAAGAGTCAAGGGGTGTGAATACTTTCTGAAGGCACTGTACATAGTGAACGTATTCGGTTGCACACCACTCAATCCAATGAAACTGACACCACTAGTGAGAAGGTCATGAGATCCAATGGACTATACTATAGACTATAGTCAGGGATGTAGCTCAGTTGGTAGAGCATGGCGTTTGCAACGCCAGGGTTGTGGGTTCGATTCCCAGGTGGGGCCAGTATGAAAAATAAAATAAAAATAATGTATGCACTCACTAACTGTAAGTCGCTCTGGATAAGAGCGTCTGCTAAATGACTAAAAATGTTTATTTTTTATGTCTACCATCATGATACAGTAGGCCTAGGCTATGTCTTTCCATCTGTGGAATAGGCCTACAGGAACATTGGATAAGCAGATAATGTGCAATGTGCCTTTATGATGTTTAAAGTAGCAAAGTATTTTACAGATGATGTCCAGCTGAATTAAAAGGTGACAAACCCACTCTAAATGGATGAATCTACATGCTAAACTAAAGCAAGAGTTCCTTGTAAAAAGGGACACGAGACAACACTAAACAAGCTGTTTATAAGTCACCAGACACATTTCACAACAGACAGTGGTCCCATACTGTAGGCCTTGTGTTGTAGCTAACTCTGTATAGCCTATGGCTTGACAACGACAGAGGAGTTGGCTACAGCACACTACAGTATGGTACCAGGCTAGACATAGGCTAGTTATAGGCTACTACACTATTCAAATCCTCCCAGATACTCCTACCTGTAAAGAGTGCCGCTATTCCAAATGTAGTCTTTACAATCCATGCAGAAATCCAGTCAGTATCAACAAAATGAAAACAGGTTAGAAAAAACTCCCAACAGAAAAGACTGACATTATCAGTAACACTCCAGTTATTCTCCTAACATAACATAATTTTTTGGCACCAAGGCCTAACTCCCGTCTTTTGAACAATCGTCTCAAAAGCAGATTTGCGGTGTGTCTTCATGTACTTTGCAGAGTCATATGCTGATCACAGTGTCAGGGCAGGCAGGGTCAAAGTGCTGTTCCTCCTCCTGAGATATTCAACACAGCACAGTGCTGCCTGGCACTGTAACAGGAGTTGGTTAAATCTTTCCTTTCATCTTTAGTCCGCAAGACAAGAGCCTCTGGAATTCACCTGACAGTGGGTGGTTCAGAAAAACATCAGTCACCAACTCATGTCACATCACACAAAGCTAGAGTGCACTACTAGAGACGTAACTTTGACCTCAAGAGGAAGTCTGAGGAACCTCAGTCATCAAGCAGGTTTTTGTAGTTGTCAAAAATGGTGAGTCACTTGATTTCTCGATCATCGCAAATATTCCCTATGACAGTCAATTTCCTTATAATCACCATAATAATAATCCTTGTCCGAGCGAGCGAGAAATACTGTCAGTGCTGAGGAAGGATACAATGTTATCACTCTCTCAGAATGACATTTCCACAGTACAGTTTTCTAGCTATAGGCCTAATCATAACGTCTGTCGCAAAAAATTATCCATTTACTGTTGAGAACAACTAACTAGTCTGCATGTTGTCTTGGCTGACAAACTCAAGCCCATGGCTCCACCCGGTCCCCTGACCCAAAACTGTTTGAAAGCAGCAGCAGTTACTATTCTGCTGGAATGAAAATACAGGACAGCTGTTACTCTGGAGAAAAGACGCCTACGTCCCCACCTGCACTGTCCCCAACCTATTTCTATCTAGTGCTGTTGTGGGTCGAATGCTAGGGAGTTACGCAAATGTGACGGTTGAGTGACTGAAATAGAGGATCATTGTATTAGACCTAGGCAGCGTATATATTAAGTCTTGGAGAGCCAAATTGTGATTGACACAATGTTATTACACCCGAGTCACGACTTGACACTTTAACCATATCCTGTCATTTAGATCTGCAGTAGTAATGAGGCCAGACTGACATCTTTAGAGAGAAATCCACAAAAGGAAACCCCTTCTTGAAAGGCTAACCTCAAGTCACTTACTCAATTTACACACAATCCCACAGGAGCAGATGATATCGCTACCAGAGAGAGAGACTGAGACTCAGAGGCGTGTTCTGAAAAGTAACAACTCATCTCTTTTCCCCGGACCATCTACATCATGTATATAGAGGCAATTTGCTGCGTTGTGAGAAGGCCAGAGCCGAGCTGAATCCGAGCCGACATTCACCAACACCTCATGCATTTTGATGTACAGTAGCTTAATGAAGAAGGATATAGAGCTGGAGGGCAGTCCCATAATGAGCCTAAGAGGGTGTTTGATTTCTTTCCTTCTCATCTGCTGGGCCGCTGGACCAGCTCATTAATTAAAACAACATGGTCTTTAAGTGCTCCAGAGTCCTGACTGAGTCGGTCTGATGTGTGTAAGCATCATGTTCAGGCCTATCTGCACCCCTATAGTGTGACTCTCACTACATCACTAAACTGGGTTAGGGTCACTGAAATACTATGCGTCACTTAAATAACAAACAGGTTTTTGGACTGTCTATGGAATTATGGAAGTTCATTTGTCAATGGCCTATATGATCCAAGGTCAAGTTAGTTGTGGGATGTTGGGCCCAGAGATGCATGATGGTTGAAACTCCCTGAGACTAGAGTAGCCTATAAATGCATGCTATGTAAACTGCTAGCCTATATAAGTGCCAGTGGTATTTCCCAGGTCAACAAACAAACAAAACAGCCATTTATCTGTGATTTCTAGTTCCTGTTAGTGTCTGCAAAACTCTGCATGTAGCCTGAGTTTAGTGCCAGGGGTGATTCTCTCTCCAGTCTAAATGGGGGAAGCCCAGAGTCGGAGGCTAGCTCTGACCCTCACCTGACACCAAAGTCTGTCAGACTTTGCTTGGATATCTATGTAGCCAACCTCTGTGGGACGGAGTGAGTCAGTATACACTAACGTTCAAAAGTTTGGCGTCACTTAGAAATGTCCTTGTTTTCGAAAGAAAAGCAATTTTTTTGTCCATTACAATAACATCAAATTGATCAGAAATACAGTGTAGACATTGTTAATGTTGTAAATGGCTATTTTTATGGAATATCTACATAGGCGTACAGAGGCCCATTATCAGCAACCATCAGTCTTGTGTTCCAATGGCACGTTGTGTTTGCTAATCCAAGTTTATCATTTTAAAAAGGCTAATTGCTCATTAGAAAACCCTTTTGCAATTATGTTAGCACAGCTGAAAACTGTTGAGCCGATTAAAGAAGCAATAAAACTGGCCTTTTTGAGACTAGTTGAGTATCTGGAGCATCAGCAATTGTGGGTTCGAGTACAGGCTCAAAATGGCCAGAAACAAATAATTTTCTTATGAAACTCGTCAGTCTATTCTTGTTCTGAGAAATGAAGGCTATTCCAGGCGAGAAATTGCCAAGAAACTGAAGATCTCGTACAACGCTGTGTACTACTCCCTTCACAGAACAGCGCAAACTGGCTCTAACCAGA